CCCCCCCCCCCAAATTACCTCTCCCCGGCCCAACGTATCGGGCCGCGGAGCGGCACGTTGGAGATGCCCCTCGTCAGAACGGCCCCCACCTGGGCCCCTCACCCAAGTCCCCAACCTGGGCGCTTGGGCGCTCGACCAGGACCCCGCCTGGGGGCCACCCCAACCAGTGCGCATCCGGTCGGTCCGACACTATGCGTTTAAACAGTGCACACGATCGACTTTCTTTAGGAGTTGGGAAGGAAAATTTACGTCCTAATATCTTCCCCCACCCATCCTGGGAAAGCGTCGGACGCCCTATAAGAGGGATTCCACAGTGGGTTTCCACAACGCAACTAGCTCGCGCTGTAGCTGGGACGAAACGGTTGCCTAAGGACAGCTTTCTCAAGGCTGTATTGTTTGAATCCTCGGCCAGAGGTTACCACCCTCGCCTCTGGCCGCATACCCGTCACCGGCAACTTGTAATCATGATCTCTGGGCGTAGTGAATTTTTAAGTAGTACTTGACCTCTATACCAGGATGTAGTAGACCGAATCAAGGAAAATTGGTTTGCGGGTATTATGTGATTGTTGTATTTAATTCGATTTTTGTCCGGTTTCATTCGTAGAACTGAAGCATTACCTGAAACACGACCTCAAACACAATTTTAAACTCTACCTCACAGACACTTTCCACCTTCTGCCGCTCTCTGGGATAGTATATTATGTCATTTTTATTTTATTTTTTAAACATTTTGTTCTTTTTCTGCGTGTATTGTTCTTCGGCTTCTTGCCGACCCTTCCGTTATTTCAATGCTATTTCTTTCAGATTTTCCCCTTACATTGTGCCAAGTATTTAATTTTAACACTCAAAGATTGATTAAATAAAATAATATACAAAATGTATTGTTCAAATACAATTCCTGCTCTGTGGCACAGATGCAAGAAATAAAAATATTTTCTTTTTTACAAATGCAACACACCGACAAAAAAACAGTGGTTGTAATAATACTCTATAACAGTGGTTCTCAACATTCCTAATGCCGCGAACTTTTAACAATATTCCTCAGGTTGTGGTGACGGTCAAGGTGTTAGAATCCCCGTGAATCTGTTTTTTGGTAGGGTCCATTGAATGAGACTATTGAGATAGTGTGCCTGAACGCTGATCGGACAATAAATAAGCGTAGGAATACCAAAAAGCAGGGGTCTCAAACTCGCGGCCCGCGGGCCTTTTGAGACATTTTGCCAGCCGCTACATGACATCAAATTTTAGTGTTAATGCGGCCCGCGCGTTTTCCCCATTCTCATATCAATACTATGACATTCCATGTCGGTTTCAGTCGAATCTTACCGCCTAGTCTAACTCTGATTTTTATTATACTTGTATAGATTTGGACGTTGATTATAATCGTAAAAACGGAATTAAAATCGGCTTTACGTTTTTATTTTTAAATCATTTTATAAGACAAACATGGCCAAAGTGCGGATTTGAGAAAAGTTTAAAAAGTAAGTTAGTGGGTAATGCACAACTATAATTGCATAAATTGTGGCAATCTGTCACAGTATCAAAGACTCCCTATTAAAATTGTCGCTAGTGTTTATGATTGGGGGAAACCCAAGCCTGTCAACTTGGTCACTTTCAAAATATGGTTAGTCCAAATAGCCTTTTCTACAATAAAAAAATTAAAATTCATTCTACCTACAATAGCATCTTCCTCCGCATCAATAATTCATAAATATTTTCTGCCATTTCCTACTGTTCGTACACGTTTTAATCTTCAAAGCCTTCATGGAGAAGGAGGGGGTGGTTGTTCCTGTACTAAGTGATCCCAAATGGCTCATGGACTTTGCTTTCCTTGTTGAAATTACACAGGAGATGAATTTACTCAACAAGAAGTTAGAAGACAAAGGAAAGCTTGCCATTGTTGTCTATGACAATTTCAAGGCATTCTGCACAAAACTTGTGTTATGGTTCTTAAAGAAACTTCTGTCATTTCCGAACATGCAAAGTGAGCCCGGGCAAAACATTCAGCAGTAAGTATACTGTTACAGAGAGCTTGTTTACATCATATTTTCTCGTGCGTGCCCTCTGATTGACCCCGCATGAGACGCTGTGTTCACAAAGGGGTGTGGCTTAGGCCTTTGAAGTAACTTGTTGACGCCGCCAACGAATAAAAATAATTAATCTGTTCCAAATAGTATTTGGTAGAATGATTGGGATTTTTCTCGAAATGTCTCGAAGGCAGGGCTTGGGCGTCGGTAGACCCACCTATATAAGGGATTGACAGGCACGGACGAGGGACGGAGATTTTAGATAAATTTTCTTAACATTACGAGGCGTGTTTTATTCTTTGTGTATTTGTGTGCTCCTACTTATATGTGTTTATTTCGCATTATTTATTGGCATCATTATTTCTAATTGTATTAACTGTGTACCGGTACGACATCTACCATACTGTAAGTTGAAGATTGTAATTTTATTTTATTTTGTAATTATCTTAAGACATAATAAATCTTAATTAATTGTAACTAGAAACTGTTTTGGGTCGTATCTTTAATATTGTTGATTATATGGTATCGTCCTTTGTTAGGCACTGTTTACAACGAGCCAATTAAAATTAAAATAGGAGATTAATTTCTCCCAATACAAGTCAGTGCGTAACAATACTGATGCCATTGCAAAGCTAAATGAAAAAATTGATCACATATTTGCAGACTTCAAAACACACAGAGCCAGTTTTTCAAAAATTTTCTGACCCCTTCCCCTTCAATGTGGAAGATTCCCCGCTCCCGACATCCCCCACACACTTCTTTTTGCGCTTCAAATTGAGCTGATTGATCTTCATTGCAATACTAAGTTCAGCGATTTTAATGAACAAAATCTTGCAAAAATTGACAATTTATGAGAGCATTGCCATCCACCTTCAATGAGATTTCCAGGTAGTTCAAGCAGATCATGTGCCGTTTTTTGGTAGTACCTATCTGTAAGAAAAGCTTTTTTCATCTTAAATTTTAACAAGTCAAAGTTCAGGGCCTAACTTACTTGTGAGCATCTTCAAACTATACTAAAAGTCTCAGTTGCTTTCTTAGTCAAGCCAAATGTTGCTCAGCTGTGTAAGAAGAAGCGCATGTGGGTCTCTGGCAAGAAGGAGTCGGGGGAAGAAAGTGAAGCCTAGTTCTTTAGAACCCTTACTGTTTTTATTTGCTATAAATAAAGGTTGAGCAGATTGTAAAAGTTGTACATTACTGAATTTGAAATCGCTTTTTGTGGAATACTTGATGAAGCCCAGTCTCACTCAGACTCTGCCACTTGCGGCCCCTGGATGATTTGAATTCGAGACCCCTGCCATCACGATAGGTGATACTAAATAGGGTAGTAAGGTAGCAGTGGGTCGGTGGGCAAAAGAGCAGGGGAGAACGACTGGGTAGGACTCTGACAGTGTCAGTATTATTGTTAGCTCGTGTTAGTAGTCTCTTGCCGGAGAGCCCTTTGGAATGTTTGGCTCTTTGGCTAACTTTGTTAACGGATCCCACATTACTGATGGGAGGTCTTGTTATACAAGACACAAGTGAAATAATTTTATAACTTATAGCTGCAAAGAACTTTGTTTCAAGTGTTTGTGTATGTTGTGTAAAGTTTGTTTCAAAATAGCCCTAGACAACGAAGCCCCTCCAATAAATTCGTGACAGTGACCTTCCCCATAAAATTATTTTCTTTGCTACTTCATAACTGTAGACTATTGTGTTCTTCGATAGCCTTAAGTTGACAACCACTGCTCTAATCTGCCAATGTCTTCTTATATTTCTGTTTTCATTTTGCTACAGAAAAATAAAAGCTTTAGCTGAGTCGCTAGTTTAAAAAAAAAAAAATTAAAGTAAGTGATCGTACGTTAAATCCTACACTTAAAATAACCAATCTTACCAGAAAAATTAAACAGAAAAAAATGAGAGAACACAGAGGACAAAGACGACAAAAAAGAGGCGTAGCGAGGAAGGCAGGGTTGGGGGGGGGGGACAGATGTCCCTTGACGCCTGCTAGTAGGGACGCAAAATTGTGCATTGATATTATTTTATTGATGAAAATAATGGGTTTGAGGGTTGAAAACAAGAAAGGGAGGCGCTTTAAAAGGAATCTTGTCCCCAGGCGCCAAACTCTCCAGCTATGCCTCTGGGACAAATAGGAGGATGAAAACAAACAGAAGAAAGAGGGCAAAAAGAACACATAGAACACCCAGACTTTGAATTCAAGTGACTGATTCTTTGCACTTGAAATTCTATTTGATATCAGCGCCAATCACTAAAAAATATATATAGATTATTTAAAAAAATACTAAGACCTATTTTGTATTTAATCAAATCGACCAACTACTTTAACTTTGTTATGTAACACATTTTAAAATTACTGATTGTTAATTATATAGTGTTAATGGCGGAAAAAATAGATTCATTGATAAAGTCAATCTAGATTTCAAATGAATCCCTGCAACCAGGTGATCTTATCTGTGACGGGTCAGGACTGTTGACGTCTTAGCTCAAGACACGAACTTAAGAGAAGGCGCGACGCTTACATTGGTTGGAGGACTTTGTACATTGTTCCACGGAAGCTCTTCTAATTGCTTGTGTCTAAAACCAGTGCCGTCGTTGTGATCAAAGAATTGCGCAGTAACGTTGAGATACGATTCTGTCAACTATTAAAACAACTCGTTGACCCCTTCACTTGGGATTTTTCAGTGACCTTTTTTGGCGAAAGAAGCCACCACGAATGTATGTCTGCTAAGAAGGTGTTCCCATGTTTATGAGAATCCCTCTTTATCTGATAAGATTTCAATCATAAAAATGTTTCCGGTGCGATTACTTCAGATTTTTTAATATATATATTTTTTTTAAAGACAAGAGTGCCACTGCCATTTTTTACAACATGAAGAGGGAAACGTTTATATGTGTTCTGTTTTTAGGTGAGAAATCATATCCTGTATGTGTATGGTTAGACAATATTGCATTATGCTATCTCTTCTCTAATCTACAGATAGCGTTCCAACGTTTCATGATTGTGTGTTGCGTTCTGTTATACGGCTTTGAAAACATTAATATGTTTAAAAATTTGGCTCATTTACTTTGCAATACGTAACAAAGGACTGAGAATTTAATACAAAGAAAACGATACCAAAGTAGTGATACTAAAAATTTTCATTTTAATTATAACTTTAAATTTCTAGACAAATACAAATACAATTATCTATCTATCTATTTAAAAAAAAAATCAACTTACAGCGCCGCAAGAAATAATGTAAAAACCTGGAAGGATACAAAAATTAATTTACACATTCAAGTAGACAGGAATCTTGCAATTAAATAACGTCTAGTAAATGTCTAGGAATATTAGCAACAATCTCTCCTGTCCAGAAAGGCTGCTAGTCTTTATATATATATCAGACCCATCTAGAAAATAAATTCGATAAAATTCGATAAATGTTGTCCCCTGATAACCTTCATTGGAAGCCAAAGTACGGAATTGAAAGTAACCAACTTTTTCCCAATCAAGGGAGGGGTGTGAAAAAAAGTAGTTGCAATCAGTGACGTCAATATTAGAACAAAGGGGAGACAAGTGGTGGTGGCCACAACGCTAAAATTAGGCCTTCACACATGCCAGGACTCTGTGTAACTTTAAAAGTTGTCACCTAATTGTAGGAACATAACATTTGCAAAGATCCACGATAAGACGTTGCGAATACTAACGCTGTGCAATTTAAATATGTTTATCAGTTACAAAATCTCATTTAAGGTAGGGACGTATTTTTCCCTCCTGCACAATTCAATTGAAGAAATTTGATAATCTAAATACCATAGCGATCACAAAAAAAACTGATTGCTGTCATGTGGTATGAGAGTGTTGTATGATATGTTTGTTTCTGTATAAATGTGTGTTGTGTGGTATGTTTGTTGCAATAGGGTGTACTATATGTTTGTTACAGTGGAACTGTGTATTGTATTATATGTTTCTTACAGTAGGAATGTGTGTTGTATAATATGTATGTTCCACAAGGACTGCTTGCTGTATGATAATTCTATTTCACCAAGACTGTGTTGTATGCTATTTATGATCCACTAGGCCTGTATGTTCCATGATATTTTTATTTCACCAGGTCTCTGTGCTGTATGATATTTCTGTTCCAACAAGACTGGGTGTATGATATTTTTGCTGTATGATATAATTAATCGGTTCCGTTAGGAAATGTGTTGATATTTCTATTTCTGTATAAGTTTTCTTTCCCACCCAAATGGTGTGTTGTATAATATTTCTTTTCCACCATGACTGTTAGTATGATATATCTGTTCCACCAGCAGTTTTTGTATGATATGTAACTTCCAACATGACTCTGTGTTATTTGATATTTCTGTTCCACCAGGTTGGTGTGTAGCTCAGCCGCATGCAGGCCTGGATCCAGTGTCCATCGAGTGCTTCCATTGTGACACTCACGCTCGTCATTTCCCAGCATGCCTCAGTGAGCCGGTTAGGTGTCACGCAGACGAGGTAGGGTTGAAATTTGGTCAAGGATTTTTAAATAATCTTTTTTTCTAAATTACATAATTTAAAAAAAAAAAATACCCTGCTATCATATTTCTTTATGAGGATTATGATAATAAATATTGTATTTTATAATAGAGATTAAGTAATCAAGTCAAAAACTACTTTCAAAAAAGCATGATATTTGTGCTTTAAGAATTAATCTCTACTTTATTATTTAAAATGATATATTAAAAACATATTAAATATCAGTTGAAAATATAAACTACTTTAGTCAAATAAGGTCCTTCGGCTGAGATGACGCAAACGACATAGTAAACAAAAAAGTGTTCCCAAATACGCATTTTATGTAAACACTGTGGAGGTTTGATTTCAGCCATCGCTGCCTACTGTTGTATTTGACCTATAGTTTGCTTTCAACAACGTTTTAAACTACCAAGACGTAAATAAAAGACATAAAATTAATTCACTGTGTGTAAAATACTTTGTAGAAATACGCAACTGGCTGATAAATCTTTTTTTAAAGACGCATTTAGAAATATTTATTAACACAACAATGTATTTTTCTATGACTTCACTTCCATTTTCGTAAAGTTCCACAACAATCTTCCCGTTACACCATTGCAGGTATGCTCTATCGCCTATGGCAATGACCTGCCTTCTTTAAAGTGCCAGAAATCACCCGTAAGTATGAATACATGGAAAGGAAGATTATAAAATTAATTACAATCTGATGCTAAGATCGGAGTATCTGCGCAATGTCTCCGTGCGAAAATTTTTATCCAAGCCAATTTAATGTTTCGTATTCTACATGTGTTTCAAGTAAATTTGACAGGTAATATTGCTTTATTATAACTTAAAACAATATGCATTAATTTATAAAATGTTTCAGTTCTTTGTACTTTGATTCCCTAAAAAATGGGCTCATAGTTTATTAATCTCTTTATATTTTACAAGACTTCCCTGATTTAGAATTGAATCCTACGTTCTTACAAAGATTGTTTTTTGCTTAAAATAATTTTTCGTTTGTTTATTGTTTACCTGAAAAGTAAATTAAAAGCCCGTAATTTTATAAAAGCTTTCATGTAGCTTCCTAGGTTGATCGTATTTCTTTCTCCCCCATAAAAGGATTGTGACCGTGAGGTGACCCATCACGTGGCCCCATGTGAAGGGGGCGGCGTGGAGATCCACCCCAACCAATGTCAGCTCTGCTGCAAAACATCGGCATGTGTCCAGGAGATCAATCGATTCCTTCAACAAAAACTCCCAAGTTTGTCTATAATTACAAATGTTTAAAAAACTCCCAATTTGTCAATAATTACAAATGAAACAGAAACTCCCAAGTCTTTCTATATTTACAAATGAAACAGAAACTCCCAAGTCTTTCTAAATTAACAAATGAAACAGAAACTCCCAAGTCTTTCTATATTTACAAATGAAACAGAAATTCCCAAGTCTTGCTGTATTAACAAATGAAACATAAATTCCCAAGTCTTGCTGTATTAACAAATGAAACAGAAACTCCCAAGTCTTGCTGTATTAACAAATGAAACAGAAACTCCCAAGTCTTGCTGTATCAACAAATGAAACCGAAACTCCCAAGTCTTGCTGTATTAACAAATGAAACAGAAAATCCCAAGTCTTGCTGTATTAACAAATGAAACAGAAACTACCAAGTCTTGCTGTATTAACAAATGAAACAGAAACTCCCAAGTCTTTCTATATTAACAAATGAAACAGAAACTCCCAAGTCTTTCTATATTAACAAATGAAACAGAAACTCCCAAGTCTTTCTAAATTAAAAAATGAAACAGAAACTCCCAAGACTTTCTATATTTACAAATGAAACAGAAACAACCAAGTCTTGCTGTATTAACAAATGAAACAGAAACTCCCAAGTCTTGCTGTATTAACAAATGAAACAGAAACTCCCAAGTCTTGCTGTATTAACAAATGAAACAGAAACTCCCAAATCTTTCTATATTAACAAATGAAACATAAACTCCCAAGTCTTTCTATATTAACAAATGAAACAGAAACTCCCAAATCTTTCTATATTTACAAATGAAACAGAAATCACCAAGTCTTGCTGTATTAACAAATGAAACAGAAACTCTCAAGTCTGTATATATTAACAAATAAAACTAAAACTCTCAAGTCTGTATTAAATATTAACAAATGAAACTAAAACTCTCAAGTCTTTCTATATTAACAAATGAAACAGAAACTCCCAAGTCTTTCTATATTAACAAATGAAACAGAAATTCCCAAGTCTTTCTATATTAACAAATGAAACAGAAACTCCCAAGTCTTTCTAAATTAAAAAATGAAACAGAAACTCCCAAGACTTTCTATATTTACAAATGAAACAGAAACAACCAAGTCTTGCTGTATTAACAAATGAAACAGAAACTCCCAAGTCTTGCTGTATTAACAAATGAAACAGAAACTCCCAAGTCTTGCTGTATTAACAAATGAAACAGAAACTCCCAAATCTTTCTATATTAACAAATGAAACATAAACTCCCAAGTCTTTCTATATTAACAAATGAAACAGAAACTCCCAAATCTTTCTATATTTACAAATGAAACAGAAATCACCAAGTCTTGCTGTATTAACAAATGAAACATAAACTCCCAAGTCTTTCTAAATTAAAAAATGAAACAGAAACTCCCAAGTCTTTCTATATTTACAAATGAAACAGAAACAACCAAGTCTTGCTGTATTAACAAATGAAACAGAAACTTCCAAGTCTTTCTATATTAACAAATGAAACATAAACTCCCAAGTCTTTCTATATTAACAAATGAAACATAAACTCCCAAGTCTTTCTATATTTACAAATGAAACAGAAACCACCAAGTCTTACTGTATTAACAAATGAAACAGAAATTCCCAAGTCTTTCTATATTAACAAATGAAACAAAAACTCCCAAGTCTTGCTGTATTAACAAATGAAACAGAAACTCTCAAGTCTGTATATATTAACAAATAAAACTAAAACTCTCAAGTCTGTATTAAATATTAACAAATGAAACTAAAACTCTCAAGTCTGTATTAAATATTAACACATAAAACTAAAACTATCAAGTCTGTATTAAATATTAACAAATGAAACTAAAACTCTCAAATCTTTCTATATTAACAAATGAAACAGAAACTCTCAAGTCTGTATATATTAACAAATAAAACTAAAACTCCCAAGTCTTTCTATATTAACAAATGAAACATAAACTCCCAAGTCTTGCTGTATTGACAAATGAAACAGAAACTCCCAAGTCTTGCTATATTAACAAATGAAACAGAAACTCCCATGTCTTTCTATATTAACAAATGAAACATAAACTGCAAGTCTTTCTATATTAACAAATGAAACAGAAACTCCCAAGTCTTTCTATATTTACAAATGAACCAGAAACAACCAAGTCTTGCTGTATTAACAAATGAAACAGAAACTCCCAAGTCTTGCTGTATTAACAAATGAAACAGAAACTCCCAAGTCTTTGTATATTAACAAATGAAACATAAACTCCCATGTCTTTCTATATTAACAATAAATGAAACAGAAACTCCCAGGTCTTTCTATATTTACAAATGAAACAGAAACAACCAAGTCTTGCTGTATTAACAAATGAAACAGAAATTCCCAAGTCTTTCTATATTAACAAATGAAACAGAAACTTCCAAGTCTTGCTGTTTTAACAAATGAAACAGAAACTGTCAAGTCTTTCTACATTAACAAATGAAACAGAAACTCTCAAGTCTGTATATATTAACAAATAAAACTAAAACTCTCAAGTCTGTATTAAATATTAACAAATGAAACTAAAACTCTCAAGTCTGTATATATTAACAAATAAAACTAAAACTCTCAAGACTGCATATATTAACAAATGAAACAGAAACTCTCAAGTCTGTATTAAATATTAACAAATGAAACTAAAACTCTCAAGTCTGTATTAAATATTAACACATAAAACTAAAACTATCAAGTCTGTATTAAATATTAACAAATGAAACTAAAACTCTCAAATCTTTCTATATTAACAAATGAAACAGAAACTCTCAAATCTTTCTATATTAACAAATAAAACTAAAACTCCCAAGTCTTTCTATATTAACAAATGAAACATAAACTCCCAAGTCTTGCTGTATTGACAAATGAAACAGAAACTCCCAAGTCTTGCTGTATTAACAAATGAAACAGAAACTCCCAAGTCTTTCTATATTAACAAATGAAACATAAACTGCAAATCTTTCTATATTAACAAAGGAAACAGAAACTCCCAAGTCTTTCTATATTTACAAATGAACCAGAAACAACCAAGTCTTGCTGTATTAACAAATGAAACAGAAACTCTCAAGTCTTTCTACATTAACAAATGAAACAGAAACTCTCAAGTCTTTCTACATTAACAAATGAAACAGAAACTCTCAAGTCTGTATATATTAACAAATAAAACTAAAACTCTCAAGTCTGTATTAAATATTAAAAAATGAAACAGAAACTCTCAAGTCTGTATTAAATATTAACAAATGAAACTAAAACTCTCAAGTCTGTATTAAATATTAACAAATGAAACTAGAACTCTCAAGTCTGTATATATTAACAAATGAAATAAAATTTTCCAAATTTACATTAGCACATGAGACAAAAACCAACAAGTGTGTCTATATTTAAAAATTATACCAACGAGAAGGGTGTTCTTCTTCTAGCCTGCAATGATACTTTCTACCTCATTAAATTTTAGTATGCTCATGCATGTCTCACAACCCTTCTCTAGCGGCGAAACCTACTGCAGACCTGTTTACCCCTGGGTTAGTGTCAGAGCTTTTCTTCAGCTCTTAAAAAAACATAGCTCAAGTTCCAAGTTTGGTCAATTGTGGGTTTTGGGAAAAAATTGTGTTTGTTTGTTTCCTTGTCTGTTTTTGTTTTCCTTATATACAATAGTAAAAGTAGATTGACACATATTTTTTTCAAATTCGATTTGACTTCAGCCGTCAATGCGGCGAATCAAGGAGTCTTCTGTCCGGGGACATGTCGAGAGACGGACATCGCCACATGCGTTCACACGGCGACATACTGTCACGCAGATCAGGTGGGTGGGACAGGTGAATGGCATGAAGAAACCATCACATTTCAATCCACACAAATTGGTGGTGTTGCTATTCATTTTAACAAACGCTCCATTTCCTTTTTTAGAATCCTTTACACTAACGCTGCTTTGGTGTGCTTCTCTCTGGCTGGGAGTGGCAAAATATTCGGATGGCCAATCGACCTACTTTCCGTCAACCTATCGAGCCGACACCTGGCACGTGGACTCGTTGCCGATAGCAACACATTCTATTTAATTTGTTTAATTATTGAGATTATTTTATCTTAATTAATCGTGATTATTAAGTCTTAGTGCTGTTAAATATTTCATATTCACAACAAGATGTGTTGAAACTTGACAAACGATATCTGAGGACATCACGCAGATTTTGACCGTACTAACCCCTCCTTGTAAGAAATAACGAAAAACAAGATAATTAGAAGAAGAAAAAAACAAAAGACAGTTAACTAAAATTACTAGACATGAGCCTTGTAGGAGACGTTGCCAAGAATGTTTATATTATCCTATAATATTTTATTCTGCACGTCCATGGGCAGAACTTGACTTTTTTATGTTTCAAAGAGCTTCTCTGCTAAACTCTACACGTACACATAACAATGGCAAAATATAAACTGATGAATGGAGGTATTGCCTGCTAACTATTTAACAGTACGAATAAGGCATTAACATTTTACGTAAAATCATAAAAAAATATTCCACCGAAATGAGTTACATGAATAATAAGATTAAAAAAAAAATAATTATAAAATAAAGAAATAAATATAATTATAATTCTTTTACAAATACAACATTTTCAACTGCTGTTGTATTGTTGTTAACAGTTCTGTAGGGTTGGCATCAATGACCAGTTGATGGTAGCCGGGCACTGTCAAAACAAACACGATCTTCAGGTAGGATGGTAAACAGATACGGATACCATTATTGCTGGTATAGTTTTGAAAGTTAGAGGAACATATTCGGACTTCCGGTTTTAAGTAACATCGCTTTAAAAAAAAAAAAATTTTAAAAATATTCAACAGAAAACAAAATTTACAAAGAAAATAAGAAGTTGTCAAAAATATGCGAACAGTTTTGCTTTTTAAACAAGGAAAACCAAGTGTGTTACGATGAGCTAGATGGTCATTTTCTTAAAACGCTAAAATTCCCAGAAATGCCACGATGATCAGGCGAGACACCCGTGTGCCCTAGCCGTCAGTCAACCTGGACACCAGGCTGTGTGTACATGGGACTGCTGTCAGACTACGGATTGCCTGACTGCGCACTTTGGCGCGTATATGGGTAAAAAAAAAAAAAAACAACAACGTGCGACCGCCCTGTCTCACAGACATCACTTATAGTTTTGAGTTATGTTGAATTAATTTTAACTGTTTCTCCAAAATTATAATATTTCTCCGTTTTAAAACTCTGATAGGAGTAGAAGTGAAGTTTAATCTCGAAAAACTGTCGAATGGTTTGTGATTTAAACACTTCCTTTCATTAGTGTTCCTACTTCTCAACACTTTTTCTGTAAATAATAGGACTTATGGATTTTATTTAAGTTTTTTATTTTAAATATATATAAATATAAATATATATATATATATATATATATATATATATATATATATATATATATATATATATATTTATATATATATATATATATATATATATATATATATATATATATATATATATATATATATAGATATATAGATATATATATATATATATATATATATATATATATATATATGTATAAATTAAAAATAATACAAGATTTTCTTAAACTTTAATAGTAAATAGTATAGGTTTCGTAGAGTAATCTTTGAAATCCGCCATTAAAAAATTGATACTTGTATAATTTTTAATGGTACCACCAGTAGCTTTACAACAAACTGAACCTCAGAATATATTAAATACATTTTTATTTGGTCATCATTCCATTTTTTATTGTTCCATTAAAAATGTGATGTCGAATCACAGGAAAGATATTAACATATGATGAACACAATTAATGTTGTTGTTGATCCGTTGCGCAAGCGTTTACCGCTGCCAGATACAGTGGTCGCCAAAAGTAGTCGTACAGAAACTTACAGCATCTTGAACGCGACCTTGTGTTCGTCAACCGTATGTGGCTTAATTAAGACGGCGCGTGTCCCTTGAGGCTTTTAATGAAGTTGTGCTGGGCTGTCGCTGTTGGAAATGGGTCTCTCGACCGATTAAAAAAACATCAATCGTTAAGCATTGTTTTCTCTCGTAGGTAAGGAATTAAGTAATTGTGAAAATGGTGGGGGGGGGGGGCATGTTTTTGAATAAATGTGACAGGGATTTTCTAAAAGAACTAGAAATTTACAAAACGGAACCAAGTCAGAAATGTATAGTGTCTTTTGTTACGAAATGTCCCCATTTTGGAAAGTGTATTTTGGAAGAGGAAGCACAACGCTTAACGGAGCCAGATGTGTGAGCCAGATGTGTGAGCCAGATGTGTGAGCCAGATGTGTGAGCCAGATGTGTGAGCCAGATGTGTGAGCCAGATGTGTGAGCCAGATGTGTGAGCCAGATGTGTGAGCCAGATGTGTGAGCCATATGTGTGAGCCAGATGTGTGAGCCAGATGTGTGAGCCAGATGTGTGAGCCAGATGTGTGATCCAGATATTTGATAAAAACGTGTAACCCATGTATGTGAGCCAGGTCTTTGAGCCATATGTGTGAGCTAGATGTATAAGTTACATGTGTGAGTTAGATGTGATTGTTAGATGTGTCAGTTAGATGTGTGAGCCAGATGTGTGAGTCAGATGTGTGAGCCAGTTGTGTGAGTTAGATTTGTGAGCCAGATGTGTGAGCCAGACATGTGAGCCAGGTGTTTTAGCCAGTTGTGTGAGCTAGAGCTATGAGCCAGATGTGTGAGCCAGATGTACGAGCCAGATGTGGGAGCCAGAACTGTGAGCCAGATGGTGAAACAAGAACTGTGAACATGATCTGTCGGTCAGATCTGTGAGCCAGTATGATGCAATGTGGAAAATTCTGGCCATGGTGTACGAGGATACAATTTTTAAAGGAATAGGCGAATCTCCGAAGAAAGCTGCATAAACTTCAAAATCGATCAGACGTTCCCTTCTCTTAACAAGGACCTTTCTATGACCGTTTTAGTTGATGCCTTTTTCTTTTTTTTTTAAATATCTGAATTTGTATTCAAATAATATCAAAATTTACATATGAGTGAAAATATTGCTCAAGTATAAATATATATTTTTTCCTACGCGGAGAGACCGATTAACAAACAATGACCTATATGTAATCGTTTTCATTTTTATGGTCACGTGACAGTTGGAGCTACGCACGGTTGACAAACGCAGCTGCGTGCTCTAGGTGTCTGAATGTCAGTTCTGTCAGTTTTTGCTGCTACCTGTACGTTAACGCAGCACTTGCTCTTTTTTACAGGCATCAGTACGATTAGCCACACGGCTTCACCGACGCAAACACCGCCTCCAGCCGTTACACAAGCCCCCGCTACGACACCGGCCCCAGCTACCACGCTAGCTCCAGCTGCTACGCCAGCTCATGTGGCACTGACACGTGAGTACGGTATCATGTCGTCTTGCATTGTATTCTCGGCGACGTCGGCACAATCTAGGTTTGGCAAAAGATGTCATGACATTGCGTTCATTTTTAACTCTTCAAAGAATCTTGTGGCGAACACATTTAACGTTACCACCAGTGACCTATTCATTACACTGAATGAGCTGTTTAAATTACCATCTGTTTAAATTACCATATTTATTTTTATGAACAAATCCGTTTGTTTTAAGAAATATAATCATTTTGTAAATAAACATAACAGTCACAGTAACAGTAGCTGTAACAGTTGCACTAATAGTAGCAGTAACAGCAACAGTAGCAGTAACCTTAGCTTCAACAGTGACAGTACGTTTGTATTACCTGTGTTAAAAATCTGAACTATTGAGTTACTCTCATCCACTGTTAATGGCCAAATGTATTCTGCTTATTTGAACATAACCACTTCCAGACTTTGATTTCCAAATACATTATTGAAAAGAAAGCAACTTTTAGAACACATTGCGGTGTATCGTTTGTTCTTTAATGAAGGTATTTTATCCTATTTCGACTTATTTACGTAAACTTTTGGAGTATAGCATTAATAAAGAAAATATCGCTTTTATACAATTCCTAAGTAATAAATATTAGTATGTGTTACATCTACAAGCGTTTACTCTTTTTCAGACTTCGTGAATAGTTACGAAGATCAAATATAAACGCGTTAAAAAAGTCCGTCATTAAATGGAAAAAATATTTTCTAAACAATTGGATTAGAATGTGTTCATCATCAACAAAACCCTTTTTGAGAAGAGCATTACGATTATATTGTCAAAAGAGCCAAACTGCTCATCTGCCTGAGTTCACATTCATTCACATCATGACTATTCACTTCCCATCTTCATGTTTTCACACTAACAGGCTTATTCTTCACTGCTCGTCTGACTTGGTTCACACTAACTTACTGACTATTCACTTGTCATATGCCTCGGTTCACACTAGCAGGATGACAATTCACTTCACATCTGTCTGGCTTCAAATTAACTTGCGGACGAATCACTTCTCATCTGTCTGAGCTCACAATGAAAATGCTGACTATTCTTGCTCCCCTCTCTGTATTAGAACTGACTATTCACTGCTCGTCTGTTTGGGCACACACTAACTTGCTGACTTTTCACCTCTGGTGTGACTTAACTTGCTGAATAATCACTGCTCATCTGTTAGCGCTCACACTAACTTGCTGAATCATCACTGCTCATCTGCCTTTGGTCACACTACTTTGTTCACACTAGCAAGCCGTCTTTTCACATCTCATCTGCCTGGCTTCACATCAACCTGTTGACTATTCACAGCACATCCTGTCAATTGTACCAAATGTGACCAGTACTGTAGAAGTAATGAGATGGAAGTCACGTGTCCCGATGGATTCTGCTCCCTGACCGTGGAAGACGGTGTCGGTGGCAGCAGAACGATTAAAAAAGGGTAAGACTAAAGTATGTAGTGTCTTCGTGTAAAATGCTTGCTACCATCTACCAAGCACGGACATAGCTGACGTACACATTCTAAGATGAAAAGGTAATTATCAGCTCCCTGCAATGTTGCTGAAGTTGCTTCCCTCTGAACAAACCCCTTCTTTTAAACGGGTCATTTCCTCTGTCAGTTCTGGCTTGCTTTTTTAAAAAAAAAGAAAAAATTATTACAAACTTTGAAGGTGTCTTTGTTCGTTTCCCTCTTTATTTCGTCTTGTTCAGCATTAGTCATTCCTTTAACCCCAGAGGTCCAAGGCCCCTATCCCGTGCGTACTACAGAGAACCATCGCTGTCTACGGACAATGCAAGGACATTTAGTGGTCTCTATGCTGGCTGTGCTTAGAGTCCCAAAGACATTAATACATTCAGTCATCAGGGCTATGGAAATTTAGAGTTTGAAAACACGAGACTTATTTTAGAACTCACAGTAGCAGTCGCAGAATTACTAAAAATAAACCTTGACGGAGTACAAAAAAAAATAAAAGAAAATGTCAAGGATCCCAATAATTTAAAATCATTGAAATTATAAATATTGAAGACATAATTCATTTTAAGTTTGTCCAGTTAAAGTAATCTGTATGGAATGCTTGCTTATCTTTTGTCTAACCTCTGAACGTCGAGTTTCACATACCTTTATTTTTATCCAAAATATATTTTAAGAACATTTTTGTAGGCCGAGGAAGACACACACACACACACACACACACATTCATTAACACAGCCAGATAAACGTTTCGGAGGCCTGGCGAGACAAGCCAAGAAATCTAAAGTTGACCATTTACCACAGTAAACCCATGCGAATGAATACAAATGACTTTTGCTTTTTCAGCCAAAACAAGCTAAAACCGTGAAAGTTTGACAAATGATTTCTTTGGCGAATGCGAATTTGTCCATTTTAAAACTATGCTTCGAAGTTAAATATCTTTCCAGCGCACTTCCAATGGAGAGAAGCAATCAATGTTGTCTGGAAGTCAGGCGTGTGAAGCTTTCCGACAGGCTGCTCAAAATAGTTTCATTTGCCAACCTGTTCTGGCTACCTGTTGACCTCAAGGAAAAGTTTTTAACAATTATTAAATAACCGAGCGATCTTTCTCCACTGCAAACCTCTTCCTAATCCAGCATTAAGTAAATTCGCAGGGCAGTACAACCGACGTGACATTCCATCTTGCAGTTTACATTAAATTGAGCTCTTCTTTTGAGCAGTGACTAGCAACAGCTCTAGCTGGTTCACATCGATGAAAGTTTCTTTTTTTTTCTTTTTTTTTAAAGAAAAAAAGAATGTCATTTGTATAAAGTTGTTGTAAAATTCGTCGATCCATTTCAAAACTGGCTTTTAATATTTATTTGGCCTAAACCGGCAGGATGGCATCAACTATGACAAACAAGTTTCAATCTTAAAACGTTACTTGTCTGTCAAAACAAGAATTGGTTCATTAATGTAATGTGTCTCACGTTCAAAATTATTTGTGCTGTAGCTTGAAATGACCAAGTTTTAAAACTAACAAAACATTAACGTTTCACAAGGTGCTTAAACAAAGACATGTGCACGATGTTCTGGACGGAATGGAACACAAATCAGCTGTGCCACGGCATTCTTGGAAATCCCGCAACGACATCGAATCAGGACGTGTCTTGTACATTTTGCTGCACGGGAGACAACTGTAACGCCGACTTGACCAAAATGAGCGTTTTCAACAGTGTCTAAAATAGCCTCTATTTATATGATCTGATCTAGCATAAGAATTTCGTGGGATATCAAGTACAAGACTTCAATGAGAATCTTTTTTTTCTTCTTTTAATGGATGTACCGTAATAGATAACCAATGCAAAAAAATCGAAAGAAGAAAAACACATCTCTTGCCTGAATTATTTTGTTTGTTGTTTTTTTTTTGTCGCTTTTTAAAATAAAACAACTATTATTTTATTTTTTATATTTGTCGGCAATACTGGAGTATCCTGCTCTTGTTGTGTCCCTGATTGCAATGGGAACCCTTACTGTTACTATCAGAGCTAAACCCGTAGAACACCAGATCCTGAATTTTCAATCTTATGTCTTATTACAAACATTCACCCGTGAAGTGCTGGATGGCATTCGTATCGGTCACAGACACCAGCAGCGCCACCTCCAAAAAAAAAATAAGTTTATAACAACAACACTCAGAAAAAGAAAAAAAAAACACATAGGATTTATATAAATCAAGGGGAGACAAAATACGTATTGAAATCCCCTGAACATTCATTTGCTTCATTAAAAAAAAACACTGCAACATTAAAACTAAAACCATGCAAACGCCGCCACCACCACGCCCCCCCCCCTCCTCCTCGGCCTTCCAAGAGGATTGTGGGAAACGACATAATTTGTTCTGGGGTGACCATATAAAAATAACGTTTTCAAGACCAGGCCTCTGCAAGGAGAAATATATTTGAGAGAAACACGTCTGTGGCAACATAGCAATTCTATGTCTGGCGATGGCTACAAGGATACCGATTAATTGGCCGGTGATTGGTGATTTTGTGCATAGTCTTGAAAGGCCTATTAACGTCACATTGGAGATGGCGTCGGTGGGTCGTCGAGCGTGAGCTCTTAATACCCTCCCCCCACCCCGGACACACCTCCACACGGGCGGACGCCGGGTCTCCCTGCCACCAGACCGTGCGGCAGCACACCGGGAACCTCCCTCCTGGCCTGGGGGAGTCCGGTCGACTGAAAATACTGCAATTAAAGCGTTCGCGGTCCACTCTCCTTGGGTCTGGATGGCATTGCGTCCTCTCAGGGGGAAATGTGTTGCGTTACCTCCCCCCACAGTCCAGGGAGGTGTCCAGTCGGGACGTAAGCGGGGGACGAAACGGTAGCCTAGGAGCGTCTCTCTCAGGGCCTCGTAGCTAAAATCATCGGCAATGGTTTTGACCACCACCCACACATTATAGCCATTGACGGCAACAGGTCATCAAGTTATTGCTTGCCTCCCGTTGCGTTGGGAGTCATGCAGTGGCCGGGGTTTTGTAGCTTCGGGAGTAAACCTCCCTACTAGTCTGCCACGCCACGAAGAGGCAAAACTCCATGTGGACGCCCCCAAGTTCCCTCGGAGACGCTCAGTTTCCGCGGACAGTGAAATGCCTGTTAAAGGAGTCCAATAATAAATAAGGAAATTTACCCGGAATAGAGGAAAGCCTTCAGTAGGGCAATGTAAAAAAGAGGATATTTCGAACAAGCAGCCTTCCACACAACAATAAATAAGTAGACAGATATACAAACTTAGCTTCTAGATGTGTATTTGACCGGAAATGATAGACATATTCAATTACAGAAGTGACGAATGAACTCAAAGAATTTAGGCATGAAATTGACAGGAAATTTCAAATGTTAGAAGTAAATTCTTTTTAAAATTGATAAATAAGATTAGAGGGAAATAGTATAGGATTATATATTTACGAAACAGCGAGCACTGTGTAGGTCAGGAAATAGTATAGGATTATATATTTACGAAACAGCGAGCACTGTGTAGGTCAGGAAATAGTATAGGATTATATATTTACGAAACAGCGAGCACTGTGTAGGTCATGTTAGCAAGAATGTTGGCTATGAGCTAATTATGGAAAGAACACAGAACTCACACGGGTCTTAACTACAGATATTTGGAACTCTAGGCAAACACAAAGAGAGATTTAAAAAAATAAATAATCGGAATGTTTATATCCAACACATCATTTTAAAAAGAGTGAAGTATAGAAACAAAATTACGTGTAACCTACCCCAAACCCCACCCCCCCCAAAAAAAAAAAAAAAAAAAAAAAAAAAAAAAAAAACCAAAAAAAAACAAAAAAAAAAACAAGAACAAAAACAACAAAACAAACAAAGAAAAACACAAACAAACCAAACACATTACCTTTTAAAAAATACATCACCGCCGTAAGCAGATTTTGAGGCAGCTTGTGAAATCAGCACGTGTTGATAACAGAGCTTGTTTGGATTATTTTAAAAGAAAAAAAATATTAACGGAAACTAGAAAGATTTCAATTTTCCCATTTGTATTCACTTACTTGTCATATCTGTTGATATTGTTGCTATGCGCTGTAATAGGGCTCTCCAAGGGTAATCTGTTTTAAATGAACAGTGCGTGACACAATAGTGAAAGAATCATATTATAAAGAAAAACGACATATATTCTAGAGATTTTAACAATAATCTATTTAAGCATAATCATAAAGTGGATGGAAAAATACAAAATGAAATATTCTTAAATGAAAACGATATTAAGTTACAGCACACCAAGTAAAAAAAAAGTATAAGAACAGAAATGAACACATATTAATTAGCACGCAGACAGTGAACATTTTTAGGTCTCTTGTTATGTATACCTGGTGTCTCGTAACAGTCTCTACCGGTCACAGTCGACCATCGTATTTATAATGAAGGATTCAGAACCCTTTCGGAACAGAAAGTCTTTGAGACGTTCATCGCCAGAGAGTGTTCATCCCTCTTTGTAATATAATGTAGACCCTTCTGGAAACGTAAACAAAATGTTCCAATAAAGAGTGGCGTTTTTGTTGTTTTTTTTTGGGGGGGGGGGGTGGGGGTGGGGATGAGGGAGGGGTGATTGGCAGCACGGGTTACAAAGTAAATTTTTGACGTCAGTGACAAAATCTAAGGAGAAGGTAATAGTTGCATGCCACGGCTCGAACAAGGTAAACACAATTTTTAAAACTGATAGATACTTAAATGTTATATCTTTTTCGTACATCACAAAGATGACCTAACGTACTCCATAAACTAAGACGATGCATAATATCAAGCCAAGTTTTTAAGACTTCTTATCTAGCCGATAAGCTATTTTTTACAAAAAATTGAGACGTAAGCTATTTATTAGTGTGCGGCAACCAGCACTTTTATGTTAGATATTTGGACTACTTGAGACCACAAGACATGTGGACTTTTCTTTTGATGTTAGGTGAGTTCATGTTGGTGTCTTATGGCACGGCTAATTTTTAAAAAGAATAAAATTTGATCAAGCTACTGGAATTTCGGCTTTTGTTGACTAAAATAATTGAATTGCAGTGTGAAAAATAATTTATACCAGTGTATTTGAATTTCAAATAAAAAATCTAGACCACGGTGACTAGACATCTGTTCGCATAAAGCTGAATTTCACGCCATGAAGTGATATGCGGCATACCAGAGCTTCCCGTGCTAAAAGTCAGGTCCGAATACCTTCTCTCGTGCCATGCCCCGTGTGAGCCTCCGTGTCAGACCCCATGCCCGCCTCACGTCCGTCGGCGGGGAAGCCCGGGGGGTGGGTGGGGGGATTAAGAGCTCACGCTCGACGGCCCACCGACGTCATTTCCCAATGTGACGTATTTAGTATTTAGGGTGACTGGGTGGCCAAATGGTCTAAACTGAGCAGACCTCAAGTTGGTTGTCTGGTGTTCAAGTCCAGCCAAAGGCCAGTCAAGCAATAACATCTCATCTAAGAGAAGGAAACTCTGAATTCAAACCCGGAGTTGGAGTCCCGTAAGGCGCAAACAATGACAATTCCTGCAACCGAACCCATCCCTGGTCGTCTTGACGTAGAGTCTTGCCACTGGATATGGTGGGCTCGGACGAAAGAGTGAGCTAGACGCCGCGCAACTCTTCTTCACTTTAAACAAAAATCATTTGCGCAAGTCATCAGTCACCAGACGACTCGATGGTCCTCGTCGATCCTCGACGGACGAACAATAATTTAGTATATAAGAATGAGCTAAGCTGACATCATAACCCTAAAACACGAATCAATGAAAATACGTTCGGATTCTTTTAGAAATGATAGGTATTTTCTATTATATTATGGAAATTAAATGTACATGCTTAAAGATTATTATCATAAATTTAAAATCCATTTAAAATAAAAATTAAAGACTATTTTATTTGGTTTTGAAAATTAAGTTGTTGTTTTTTTTAAAATTAAAAATAAATCATCCACTGAACATTAAAATTATTAATTCATAAGAAACTTTTACTGGGGAAAACCAAATATCGTAGTTGTTGTTTTTTTAATATTAAATATTTAACATTGCAAAATTAATATCCAAATGTCTTTAAACGATATGAAATTAATATTTTCAATTTAAAAAAAAAATGTCTGACGTCAACATTTAAATTCCCCAATCACAAGCTATTAAATTTGTTGGGGCAATAACTGCGTAATACAAAAGTGATATTTCTTTTTTTTCCTTTTTCAATATATAAAAAGATTAATCAATATAATTGATTTCTTTTTAATTTGTTAATACACAACACCAAATTTTAACTCCGTATTTTTAAAATTCTACAAATTTTACAATCTTCCCTTTTTTTTTTTTTAAATGTTCGTTTTATCATATTTGTAAAGCAATAAAAACTTTACCATTGAAATTTTCTCATAAGAATGTTACGTACCTTAAGGAATTTAGTGCAATGAAAATTTTATAATTTTTTTCCTTTTTTAATATATAAAAAGATTAATCAATATAATTGATTTCTTTTTAATTTGTTAATACACAACACCAAATTTTAACTCCTTATTTTTAAAATTCTACAAATTTTACAATCTTCCCTTTTTTTTTTTTTAAATGTGCGTTTTATCATATTTGTAAAGCAATAAAAACTTGACCATTGAAATTTTCTCATAAGAATGTTACGTACCTTAAGGAATTTAGTGCAACGAAAATTTTATAAGCAAATCCCACCCACTAATTAACTGATCACGCATCCAAAACAAAAACAAACCAAAGGATGTTGCATTTGGCTCGTTTTGTTATTGTTATCACAAAACCTAATAGTGCTACCGATTTTAACTTTGGTAGAGCTTGTTATCTCGAAAGAAGAAATAACATTTCTTTTTTCTTTTTTCATTTCTTAAAATTTTTTTTTTTTTTTAGAAAATGATGTTAAGCTCAGTTCGTGCGATCAAATTCCTTTCAATTTTTTTTTCATAGATTTGATGCAATTTTTGTATGAAGCCTTGTCACAACTTTCAAAATTACTATTTGATTTTATTCTTAATTTTGTCAAAAAAAGAAACCACGCACAAAATTGGGCGTTCATACAAACATTTGACGCATATTTGAAGCTTATTTTAAAGGAATTTGATCGTGTGAACTGACGCTAAAGGATTTAACATTTTATTTTTACTAAAGTTCAGACGCCTGCAAAAAATGTGTAAAAGTGTAAGTGGCTTGGGGAAAGGGGGGGGGGCTATCATCCAGTGGATGATTTTATTAGTGTTTATTAAAAAAACGGTGAGGTTAGGGATATTTGATACTTCCGTTTAGCTCCAGGCAGCACAAGATACACCTCAAGAACAAGAAGTGAATTAGATAAATACATAATCTCCTCCTGTCAAAACATACAAGGGGCGGGGCTTAGGAGTGTACATACGTATATGGATGACAATTTATTTAAATCAAATGACATTACGGTCGTGAAGAAAGAGATGCTACATATTCTTTTTAAAGAAATAAATATGTTTTATAGACTTCAGAAAATTTAGTTAAAGGGCGTTGATAAATAATAGGTACAATGACATTAAGGGACCCATACCTCCAATAGAACCTCAAAATCCAATCTTTTTACACACTTTAAACTTTAACCTTAAAAATAGATCCATTTTTATTTTTTTCACTGTTATGGGGCGTGAATAAAAGTAAGATTAAGGTTCTCTTTAAAATTAGGAACATGTATTTTTGTCCCCCACTTTGCCAATAAGCAGAGATCACGGGAAAGTGTGTGTAAATATACGTGTGATGAATACTATTTCTTTACAAAAGAAAGAAGACATGACACTCAAGGCTGTCACAGACGTGAAAAAGGTTTACGAGATTCTCCTTTAGATAAAGGGACTTGGTGCTTTAAGATTTTCAGATAATGTTGTAGAGAAGCGAGGAAACATTATTATTTCATTTTAATGAAGACAACAATAAATCAATTTCCGTTAATTAATGTAACTTTAGATTTGAAAATGTATATAGATCCTCTGTTGTTACTTTAAGGGCATGTTATACATTTTTCGAGAAATTTAAAGTGTAGTTCAAGGAGAGCAAAAAGGGTCAGGATCGTCATATATTGCATGGCAGATAAATATTTCTCAAAACTAAATGTTGTTAGAGAGGCAAAAATGAATAAATTTAAGAAAAATCTGATTACATTTTTCTTCTAAATTTTCATGTCAAGGACAAGAAATATTGCCGCACGTTTTACAGCAGTTATGTACGTAAAAGTTTGGTAGTTTGGATTCCCGCATAGATACAGTAAAACGACATATGGAATGCACTCTTTTGAAGCGATGGGGCCAAAACTATGGAACATAGTTTTGGCCCCATTGTTTGAGGGAAATTGAAAATGATAAAAACACATTTAAGAAACATTAAAAGACGTTTTTATTTAAATTGATTTAAAAACATCAGAGCGGCGTACGCATGCTAAATTGGCATGGATACAAGCGATATATAAATCTTCAATTCAATTCAATTCTATTAATATCCCGGTATCAACTTCTATCACCACAAAAAATGTTTTAACTAATACCTTCCATCTAATCTGATCTACATTAATGTCTCTCCCCAAGTTACAGTTCTTTTAGAGCCGTGTTGTCAAACCAATGCTAAAAACACAAGTCATGATCCAGCAAAACTACAGCACTTCATTTGACACGCAAACCTTTACTGAACTATGTGTTTGACACATAAACCTGCACTGAACTATGTGTTTGACACATACATGTGTACTGAACCATATATTCGAAACATAAACTTGTACTAGACTATATGTTTGACACATAAATTTGTACTGAACTATATATTGGTAACTTAAACCTTACTGAACTATATGTTCGACCCGAACATCTGTTGTGAAATAATAATATGAAATTAGCATGTGAAAATGAACTTGAGACGTACCTTAGTCTTTAAATGTATTTTTCCACCAGATTTTGCGGTGGCCCAAATTCACCTTGGACCTATCGGTAATGCAGGGCCTCCCACTTGTTACAACTGTGATGATGAGGATAATATTTTTCCTGCCTGTGTCAACAAACAGGTCACATGTCACCTTGACGAGGTAATTGGTACTTACAATTTATTGTCTAGTACTGGGTACCTTTGTTCTTACCAATACGACCAGTCATTTTCGGATCGAAAAACAAAGAGAGAGAGAGAGAGAGAGAGAGAGAGAGAAATAGAGAGAGAAATAGAGAGAGGGAGAGAGAGAGATACGTGAGAAAAATGTGAAAGAAAAAATAGATTGATAAAAAGATGGATACATGAATAGATAGATGATGGATGGATTGATGGATAGATATTTAAATAGATAGATAGATAGATAGATAGATAGATAGATAGATAGATAGATAGATGGATAGATAGATAGATAGATAGATAGATAGATAGATAGATAGATAGATAGATAGATAGATAGATAGATAGATAGATAGATAGATAGATAGATAGATAGATAGATAGATAGATAGATAGATAGATAGATAGATAGATAGATAGATAGATAGATAGATAGATAGATAGATAGATAGGTAATCGTATCGTTCTCCTACCACAGGTCTGCTCAGTAAGATATGGACATGGACTACCCACATTCAAGTGCCAGAAAAACAATGTAAGTTAAAGATCATGACGTAACACGTAATCTGTGCCCCACGTGAAATGAAGGTGTTTCAACAATGGTTACATATAAAAACAACAAACATATTAAAATCAATATTGCCACAAAGTTTATTCTATAATGCAGTATCTTTTTATAAAATAAAAAAATCTATTACATTGCTTTCACATTTGAGCAATTATTGCGATTCTTGAAGAGAAAATGATTAAGAGAACTTTAAAGAAGCATTTGCACGAAATAAAAAATCCATGTAAATGCAAGCAATGAATTATAATGTAAATAATAATGCAAAAAAGAAATACATTTAATAATACAAATATTTATATAAATACTAATACAAATACTAGCACTAATTAAAATAATAATTTAATAAAAAAATTAATAAAAACAAAACAAAACAATGAAAACAATATGTGATATAGACATTTTTCATACAAAAAATTCAGCTGATTTTTAAATGTTACAAAAAAAACACCCTTTTTTTTTTTTTTTTTTTAAGTNTAACGGAAACTCTTTTAAAATTTTGCATCCTTCTGTTTTAATAGAAATTATTATATTTTTGTGAAACTATTTTTTTGAGAAGAAAAAAAAAAAATATTAAAAAAAAAAAAAGAAAGGTAACTAAACCATTCTATTTTTGTAATAAAAATCAAGTAAAGAAAACACATTTTTAAAAACGTTTATTTTAACTGCAAATCTTTTTATCATAAATATTTATTATAAAAATGATCGTATCAGTTTTCAATTTTGGGACCTCCAAATAATTTTGTTTAGGTAGTAAATCAATGATGAGACGGGGGAAAAAAGCACAAGGCGACTAAATGATAAAACATCAAAAAATCTTAAAATTTCCACTTGCACACCACTATGTACAATTATCTTTTTAAAAGTCAGTCAGTATGCTTTTGGTCATGAGTTAAAGATTTAATCAGCTGATTAAAAGAAATGATTATATATATATATATATATATATATATATATATATATAATATATGCAGGGTGGGCCAATAACATTGAGAACATTTCGTAGCGTAATATTTTACGAGATATATATATTCGTTGGTGTAATTTATTAACATCGAATAAGATTTTAAAAAGGCCCTTAAAAATCAATTTACCTAGTTTCATGGTAACATTTTTCTTGCACTTAAATTGAATGCTTTAAAAAAAAAACAAAACATTGACATATTACAGAGTTGTGTCAGGGACGTTTCACATCCTTTGGGGAATTGTACCGGCGGCGGTGTGCAGGTGGATCAGGATTCGTGTGAGCTCTGCTGTCATACAACGGAATGTGTGCAGGAAATCAAGGGAGCACTTCTTCAAGAGTTCCGTATGTACAAATACAAACTCAATGAATTCACGTCGCGTGTCTGACATTAACGACAAGAAATGAGTGGCGTTAAGGGCAAAGAATTATTCGGAAACGTGAAAAAATTTTTGACTCTCCTAAAAATACGCCACAAAAACAGCCACTCCTAAAACAGACAACACAAAAACAGACAACACAAAAACAGACAACACAAAAACAGACAACACAAAAACAGACAACACAAAAACAGACAACACAAAAACAGACAACACAAAAACAGACTACACTAAATGGACAACAAAAAGACAGGCACCACAAAACGAACACCACATAAAAAAAGATATCACATAAAAAAGACACCACAAAACAGATACCACATAAAAAAAACACCAAAAACTGACACCACATAAACAGACACCACAAAGCAGACAGAAGATAAAAAATAAAGCATAAAACAGAAATCACAAAGCAGTCAAAACACAAAGGAGACACCACATGAAAAGACAACAAAAGACAGACACCATATAAATAAGACACCCCAAAACAGACACCACATAAAAAAGACACACCATAAAAAACACCACAAACAGACGCCACAAAGAAGACACACATGAAACAGACACCACAAAGCAGACACCACAAAACGGACACCACCAAAGAAACTCCACATAAATAGGACAACGCAAAACAGACATCACATGAAACAGACACCACAACGTCCAAAACAGAAAAATAAAATGTATATGGATGATCTGTTTGTGAATGCCTCATGCTGTTTAGGACAGATTCATGAGACATAAACAATTTGTACACAATAAAGCAATATCTCTTCAGCTTTAGTGATGATTTTAAAAAAATATAAATGTTAACGTTTCGGTATTCGTCAGTAAAAAAAAAAAAAAATTAAATAAGTATAAATAAATTAAATTCACATACCTGTAATTTTTAACTACATGCTTCCTAACTAATAATTAGCAAGGAATAAGACTGGCCGCAAACACAGACGAAACAAAGTTAAGCAGAATGGAAAGGAAGTGAGTTTAAATGCATCGCGTTTTTAGCAGAGGAACTCAAAATCAGGTCTTCCTCTGTATTTAACCCGCGATTAAAATTACTATGCATAATAAATTGGTAGTCTATACATTACTTGGACATTTCACTCAAAGTCTTTACCCTTGATTTCCAATTGATGGGTTTTTTTGCACTTATAAACAGCTTGATTGGATACAGAACAAAATAATGGTGTGTAATTGATTCAATCTTACTCAATTGCAAAATCTTGCACATTCAATCTCACTCAAATGCACAATTTTGCTCAAGTTCACAATCTTACAAAATCTTTGAGTAAATGGAAAACTTTATTTTTTAGCACTGCACTTACCGTATCACGGTCTATTCTGCCCCGGACATTGCATAGAGACTGAGCTGGCAACGTGCATCACCACTGGAGCCTATTGCCACGACGGACAGGTAGTTCGGTGCTATGTCTGTACAAATGTGTCTGCCACAAAGTCTTAACAACTAAGTTTTTTTTTTTTTTTTACGGCGCAAGAAACGTGAAAAATAAATAATATTTTAGTTGATATGACTTAAAGTTATACACAATTTAATTATGTGACCCATTTTATTATCCGTAGAAAGAAGCTGATGCTTCTTATATTGTACCAATATCAGGATATTCGTAATAGGCCATAGACTTTACCAATAAAAAAATCATCTACTCATTTTTTTCTTCTAACTACAGTTTTGTAAAGTTGGGATTAATGACCGTTTAATGGTCCAGGGACATTGTACAGACACCGAAGACATTCAGGTGAGTTATTGGAACAAAATAATTAGCGTCTTGTACATACTCGGTTGTTTTGTAAATATATGTCTCTGTAGTGTCTGACGAAAATGGTAAAGGTAAGAAATATCACAAGCTAGACGAAATTCGGTGTGGGATTGGGGTGAGGCGGAAAAATCGTTTTTAATTTTGGTTATGTTTTCTTTTTGAATATAACTTTGTGGGGTCAAAATTATGATTGTTGATGTATAGCTCCCTTAATATTTCAAGCTCAACTTAAAAAAGTGTCAATTTTATGTGTAATTTGTTTTAATGTACACAAAATCCTCTCCTTATCTCTGAAATTTAGACAGATATGGTGACATCCTGATATTTTGCACCCTAATTTGGTGAAACCCTGATAGTGTTGCACCCTTATTTGGTGACATCCTGATATTTTGCACCCTAATTTGGTAACACCCTGATAGTTATGCACCATAATTTGGTGACATCCTGATATTTTGCACCCTAATTTGGCGACACCCTGATAGTGTTGCACCTTAATTTGGTGACACCCTGATAGTGTTGCACCTTAATTTGGTGACACCCTGATAGTGTTGCTGCCTAATTTGGTGACAGCCTGAAAGTGTTGCACCCTAATTTGGTGACACCCTGATAGTGTTGCACCCTAATTTGGTGACACCCTGATAGTGTTGCACCCTAATTTGGTGGCACCCTGATTGTGTTGCACCCTAATTTGGTGACACCCTGATAGTGTTGCACTGAGCTGAATTTTTTAGCTGTATTATGAGAAAAACAAAACGTGTGAACCCCTTATAAATTTGTCATTGCCCATAGGGTGCAACCTTCTTCAAGATCGCCCCCTGGTTATTTTTACGACACTGACAGCATGACATTCTTAAGAATGTTCTTTGTTTCGTTCCCAGGAATGCTTTGACGACAAGAGTGAAGACCCGTGTGTCCTACCCGTTGGTCAGGCCGGACACATGTCCAAATGTGTATGGGACTGTTGCTCGACGTCGGCCTGTTTGATTGCACACTTTGGCGCATACATGGGTAGCACGATCAAAAACTTTTTGTCGAACTGGTTGCCCAACATTTTTTTTTTTTTTGGTTCATTACCGCTACACAGCGTTCATTCTTTTATTAATTTTAAAAAAAGGAAAATATTTCTTTTCAGCACATTGTGCATATACCTTTTCAGCACATTGTGCATATACCTTTTCAGCACATTGTGCATATACCTCTTCAGCACATTGTGCATATACCTTTTCAGCACATTGTGCATACACCTTTTCAGCACATTGTGCATATACCTTTTCATCACATTGTGCATATACCTTTTCAGCACATTGTGCATATACCTTTTCAGCACATCGATAAATACGTCTTTTAATGAAGACAAATTTCCACATTTTACAAGTAAAAAAGACTTTTCACACAAGACATCTACATTAAACTGTTTCTCTGGTGTAAAAAAAAACGACAACAACCAAAACCACCAATCAGTGAGCCAACTTAGTCATAATAGGGACTGAGGCGTCAAATAAGCCGAAAAGGAGTATAAGGGAAGAGATTTCGTTTTGCGTACAGTTTTACTCATTAAAAAATTTGACTTATATTGCAGACATTGGATCTGTATGAAGGTCTCTGTCTTAATATACTTTATAATGTTGTTGGGGTAAAAAAAAACCTTGTAGATATATAAATATATATATATTTGTATCGTGCAAAATAAATATGAGGATTTTGTTTATTTCAACCGAAATTCCACAGCTGATTTTCGTGGCATGATACTGAAACATTTGGTCTACATTTTGTTACAGCGATCAATTAAAAATAATATATATATATATTATTTATATTTAAAATTTGAAGGCGCTGCGATATAACAACTTTGTTAACTTTAATTCACTCAATTTTATGAAGACTGCAATTTGTTGACCTGACCTTTGGTTTAATGTTTATAGATGACACAATCATCAGTCAAACAACAGTTACACACGTGGCGGCCACCCTAGCCCCGACACCCCCTCCAACGCAAGCCCCGACACCCCCGCCAACGCAAGCCCCGACACGTAAGTATATTTCCTAGGCTTTTAAAAATAATGATAATATTCAGGGATCGAGTTGTGAGCAGTGTCTGTTTCAGACATCACTCCTTAAGAGTGGACCGGGCTGCCCCCCCCCCCCGAGCAAGTCAACTGCCACCCAGCCCCGGAGTAAAATACGTACGCAAAATAAGCGAAAATATACTTTAAAAAAAAAACAAAAACAAACAACCTGCTTAATAAAAGAATTCATAGACATAGAAACATTTCATGGATTAAAGTATGATTTTTTTTTAAACTTGTTGCTACGATCGATAGATTTAATTATCGGAATATATAAGGTAATTTTAGATCCACGATAGGGTTCGCAATACCATTCTATTTCGAAGTACCAAGTTTAAAGACTTACATTATGGGAACAATTGCAAACGCTACTTGGAACGATGCGAATTCGAAATTCCTTTCAGTCACTATAATTTCATATATCATAATATTTTAAAAAATTGTATTACTAAATATAAAACACTGCAATATTTTTGTTTAAACTTCTATTTTTCACTAAAATAAAATGAAATTATTGTTTGATAGGGTTTGATTGTATAAAATTAGCATGAGTAAATGTAAAGTTATCACTACAATTATTTTAATATTGATATAACCATTCTATAATATTTTTCAACGCATTTTCTTTTTCATCTGGTAAATATTTTAAAATATTAGGAGAAATAATTGTTATAACTGCTATTTGTGACAGCAATATTTTTGGTATGGAAATATTTTTAAAAAAAAGGTATTAATGACGTAGTTTTAAGAAATAAATTGTTCTCCTAATAAAATTTAAAGTGACTGAAATATAAATTTTATTTTTTATTTATTTTTTTTTTATTTTTTTTGTTTTTAATTTTTTTAAATTGTGTGCTTGGTGGCCGAGCTGTCTGAACTGACTTAATCTAAACAGCTGACGATCTGGTAAGACAAAATCCCGAGAACCCCAGTGGGATAGGTCTCGTTAGTCTTGGAAGACGACACATCTAAGAGAAGGCAAACTCTTTATTCAAACCAGCAGCCAAAATGATCCATAAATTGATCGTGGGCCCCTAAAAAAAAAAAAATGAATAAAAATGAACCCCATTTTTAATACCGAATTTGGATCGGGGGAGCCTTGGGTGAACTCGATTTCCGCCTTACGCCCCATAAATGTGACTAAGCTGGGACCAAAATATTACTTCATTCATGCCGTAATCTTAAAGTTTTGCGTGCCTTCTGCATACCTAAATTTACGCTCTGATGATTGAACACCGCTCTGTTAGCTTACATGAAGTAGTAACCTCATCTGATAACAAGATTCTAGAAGAAAGACTGAATTCCGGCATTGGTCTCCATTCATGTTTGTGATTGTATTGAAATACTCACATTGAAAGACGATTATGTTACAGCGACATCGGTCAACTGCTACCAGTGTGATGGTGATGTGTGTCACCATAATGAAAAGAACGCCACGTGTCCTGGCGGATTCTGCATGCTGACAGTCGACGAAGACACGGGTGGCAGTCGGCTTGTTAACAAAAGGTGAGATCCTAGAGGCTTAATATATATATATATATATATATATATATATATATATATATATAAATGTTGACCCTTCAATTAATCTAATTACGTTGACGAACGAAAATTAAGTAAATGGATTCTGCATGCTGACAGTCGACGAAGACACGGGTGGCAGTCGGCTTGTTAACAAAAGGTGAGATCCTAGAGGCTTAATATATATATATATATATATATATATATATATATATATATATATAAATGTTGACCCTTCAATTAATCTAATTACGTTGACGAACGAAAATTAAGTAAAAATTATGAAAAAGTATAATAAATGAGAAGAACTCCATAACAAAAAAACTACACTAAATTAATTCTCGACGAAGTTCATTAAACTTCCAAGACCCGACCTTGTCGTGATAAGGAGGGTTGAGTGTGTGCTAGGGGTCCATACTTGCAAGATGTCCAGTCTAAGAAGTTCACAGCTTACAAGCTTTGCGTGAGATCTCGGCATTGGTTTCGCGAGCGATATAAAAAAAAAATCATTAAAAAAACAACCAATGCAAATTCATGCAAGTGTGGTCACAGAGAAGACACTCCACAAATAGGGATTATGAAGCGTCGCTAGAAAAAAAAAAAAGAAAGTAATAAGCTTAGAATTGAACTTGCCTATAGATTGAAGGCCTTAGAAAATGTTGATGAACAAGATGACATCCTCACTATGTGAATTCAAACTGTATGGATGCATTAACCACCCTAGAAGCAAATGAAAAGGACTGCGGTTGTAGCAGACATTAATGAAATTTGACTCTCACCCATCGTTGAAAAAAGGTGCTTGAATTTTTTCGACAGAATATATCCGGCAAGGAATAATCCATTTGGAAACAAGTTTAATATGATTAATTACAACTGTCTTTATAAATAGAAAAAAACTTTAATCATGGTGTTGGGCAGCTGGGTGACCGAGTGGTCTAAACTGATTCGATCCCCAACAAGGCCCCCCCAAAAACAAAAACATTATCGGGTGGATGGGACTCGTTAACCTTGGATGGCAACTCACATAAGAGAAAGGAAGCTCTGAATTTAAAACACAGAGATGGAGTCCCGTAGGTGGATAACATTAGCTCAATGAAAAACGTTTCGACAACTCCTGCGACGCCACTGGCCCCAAGCTGTATCATCCACATGATGCTCCCTTGGGTTATCCAGCAGCGTGGAGAGAGAGAGAGAGAGAGAGAGAGAGTCGATTTGCTATCGAGGGAAACAGGTTACAATCCTAAAAAAGAATAATCCGAGGCCTTGTGGATTTCGTCCTGCGAAGTCTACACCATCGTCACATGGTGACGGACGGATGCCAGGATAAACCGCTGAAATGGCGCTCGTCCGCCGCTAGCCAAGATGACCTACGCAGCTGTTTACAATATTAAGCTTTACAATAGTAATGCTTAAATTCTGTTACCTTGACAGTTATGCACTACAGAATTAATGTGGAACCTACGTTTTGATTTTAAACAAATGTACTTCCGTTTCTAACACAACGCTTCAGTTTCTAAAGATAGACTTTGAAACTAAAATGTTGATCAAAATCTTCAAACACATACATTTTACATTTCCATTTCTTTTATCCCTTCGTGTTGTGTCTTGTCAGCTGAAGAAGGCGTTTAGCCGAAACGTCCTTGTAAGGGAGCTCATTTTTACAGCCGTAAACATATCCTAGTCCACTACTTATTTTCTTTTTGGCATATTTTATGAAAGGTCTGAGTGATTATGGTACTATAGAAAGTTATAGACTGCTTAGTGCTAAATTTTGGTGTATTCATCAGATGTTCCGATGAGACTGAGTGCTATAACAGCTGGAGCAACGGTTGGAGAGATGACCAGCTTTGCGCCAAATATCTTTTGACGCCAAAGGAAATGAGCGGTCAAGATATGTCGTGCAGGTTCTGCTGTACCGGAGACTTCTGCAACAATCACATTGACATACAGAATGTTCACAAATTTTAATGAACTTTATTTGCTCTGTCGTATTAGAAACAGCAGTGTTAATCCTGGTTTGATATCCATAGATCCACCCTATATAGATGAGCTTATTTACTCTTATATATTTAATATATACCAATTTCTAACTTTTCTCTTTTCTCTTCAGTATAAAAACACTAACAATATTCCAACCATTCCCTGACCAAAAATCACTGCAAGTCATTCTTTCGAACACAACAGGAAACCCTCATATAATGTTATATCGTTTGGTAAATTTCTAAACAGATTTGTAAAAATTTATTATCATTATAATTTTTTTTTTGTATGATAAAAGTTACTATTGAAATAAGTGTTGTTCTTCCTCTCTGACGATGTTCATACGTAGCTTCCACTGACTTCGAGCTCTGAAGAAAATTGTAAAAAATATATAGGTTGTAACATGCATTCATATTTCAGATGAAGAGCGTTATTATCATGCAACAACTGATCTTCGATGATCTTTCAATAGTTAAACAATTAAAGGACAATCATAAAATACGAGCATACATTTCATTATAAAATTTGAATATCATGAAATAACAGCATGCTTTTCATTTTAAAATTTGAGACTTATGAAATAAGAGCATGATTTTATCATACAATTTGAAAAATATGAAAAAAAGCATGTATTTCATTATAAAATTTGAGAATCATGAAATTAGAGCATGCATTTCATTATAAAATTTGAGATTTATGAAATAAGAGCATACATTTCTTTATCAAATTTGAGAATCATGAAATAAGAGCATGCGTTACATTTTAAATAACAATTTGAATAGTTACTTTAGTGAGGTGTCTTTAACTTTGTGTTGGCTGGTATATTAAAGGCCTGTATATTATTGTACAGCAACATTTAAAATAAAAGGGTGCCCAAAAACGGGCATGGAGCTGAGGGTGGGGGTGGGGTGGGGTTTGGAGCTGAATAATATTTGAAGAAACAGATTCAACTAACAGATACACGTTTGGAAAACAAATTATAGGGGGCGTCCGCTACATTTATCTCCCCCCCCCCCTGGACCGGCTACGGTGCTGGACTTATTATATGAATGTTTTTGGAAGACAGACGCTTTGAACAGATCACAGATAAAGTTTTACAACAAATTATATTTATTATTAATTATATTTATTTAGATTGGCTATTGACGTACAAAAAATCTAAATGGGGGGGGGGGGGGGGTGGGGTTTGGAGCTGAATAATATTTGAAGAAACAGATTCAACTAACAGATACACGTTTGGAAAACAAATTATAGGGGGCGTCCGCTACATTTATCTCCCCCCCCCCTGGACCGGCTACGGTGCTGGACTTATTATATGAATGTTTTTGGAAGACAGACGCTTTGAACAGATCACAGATAAAGTATTACAACAAATTATATTTATTATTAATTATATTTATTTAGATAGGCTATTGACGTACAAAAAATCTAAAGATTGATATTAAATAAATTTTTAGAGGACTGGGGCTCTTCATATATATATCCTTGACATTAAATGGCAAGACAAAGTCTCCAACACGGATGTCCTGTTCCAAACAAACATGTGGTAGCGTCCCAGCCATGTTAATTCAAAGACGCCTCCGCTGGCTTGGACACGTCAAGCGAATGCAATCTGGTCGCATACCAAAGGACGTGCTATACAGCGAGTTGGCGACAGGGAAAAGGTCAGTTGGACGGCCTCGTCTGAGATACTTAGACATATGCAAAAGAGACATGAAGTCGGCTAACATCGACATCTCAAACTGGGAGGAGCTGGCAGAGGATCGATCCTCATGGCGGGGCATCGTGAAGGCAGGATCACTACATGCCGAGGAGCAAAACAGGGCGGAAACAGCTGCAAAAAGAGCGAGGAGGAAGGCCGGTAAATACTGCTCCACCGCATTCGTGTGTGGGAAATGTAACAGAGACTGCCATTCGAGGATTGGTCTCACCAGCCACACCAAGAGCTGCGAGCTATAAAGATAATATATCGTCTCCAGCAGACGAAAAGATGCCATACATACATATATATATATATATATATACATACTGTAATGAACATTCATAAGAATCTTTCCAACTGAAGAAAACCAAACGCAAGTAAGTTAAGTCATATCCTGTTTTTATAGAATGCGTTATTTTTACAGTGGTTCGTAAGTTTCCCAAATCAGCGTAACAAAGAAGAGTCCAAAATGATACCACGAGGTTGTAACCGTAGAAACTAAGCACAATTCTGTAATAATTACATCATCAACTCTTATCGAGGTATTCAGCTTTCTGTATATATTTACTAATGCCTTTGAAGTAGCATTGAAAAAAACAAAACAAAAAACAATAACATATTTTGCACCAATGGACGCCTTTTTTTTTATCTGATACAGATGTGATGCTAAGGTAACTGTTCACGCAGTGTCTTTCTTTTTCTTCTTCTGCGACATCGTCCCTGTGTCAACGGGGAAAGGTAGGCAGGGCTGCTAGGTGACATAACACTGACATCGAATCAATTTTTTTTTTTTTTTTTTTTTTTTTTTTTTTTTGCAATATAAATTATTTTTTTAAAAGTAATTGAGATTTTTAACTCACAATTTTTTATGATTTAAAAGAAAATTATAATCGAATCAATTTTTTTTTTTTTTTTTTTATATTTTTTTTTTTGCAATATACATTATCTGTATAAAAGTAACTGAGATTTTTAACTCACCATATTTCATGATTTAAAAGAAAACTATAAATATGACGTCATTAATCTTTTGTTGGAAACTCAAAAACAGTACTTTAAAAAAACCAAAAACAAACATCATGGTGTGTGAGATTTTTATGAATGAACTATTAAAACAAAAGTTTCTTTACAAACCATGCATTCAAGTCACGCGTGGTGTAAAGGCGCACCATTGTGTACTAAATAAAGACTGGGAATTTTATTTCCCGCGCCTGTTAAGACATTTCGTTGAAGACATTTCTTTCATATCTAGAGAACAAGTATTTGTGACTTTTAAATCCTTTACATTAACTCCTCTTTTTTCGCGTGTTTCTTTCTGGCTGGGTGTGAGGCAACATCTTCGGTAGGCTAATTGACCTACTTCCCGTCAACCTATGGAGCTATAATTCGGCTATATTGAATCGTTACCAATGACAACAAATTTTAATTAAAATGTCATCCCCACTCTTTAACCCCAAACCCCAAAATCAGTTTTAATTTTTTTTTTCAAGGGGAAGTTGGTAACCAGAGTAGTAATGATGTGATTATAGACTATTTTAAGTTAGCAAGTATGGATCATTTTTCCGTTTGAAAAACAACTCGAAATAAGCATGTTGTACAAGATTTCACAAGACGGTCGCACTTTTTGTTTTTAACCCTGCAAATGATTATACTGTTGTTTGAATTTAGAGTAATAAAGCAGAGGATTAGGATTGTATTTAATAGGCAGGGTAAGGGCGTGAATTAGTGGAAAAAGTAATAGCAAAATATGATCCCAACTCGTCTGTGGTCTCTGGGGTTACGACTCATCACGTCCAGTCATACAACATGCCAACAACCCAGTCAAATGGGGTCACAAAGTTCACTCAACACACGCAATAATCGTCAGTCACGTACACTATCACAGTCCACTGTCTTTCTACGTGGTTTCGGGTGATCTTGTACTGAGCAGATTTATCAATGGCCAAATAAATTTCCGACGCAGTTTTGATTATTTATAATAAACAATACAAACACGAGGTGCAATTCCTCTTGGATGTTCGTTACAAACAAAGATATTATACATAGATTATATATAACTTCATTCGCTATATTAACCTTATGTCAAGGAACACCAAAGTGATCAGATTGTAAGACTATTCAAAGTGATAATCTTCAAAAAATTACCAGCTGTTGTCCAACTCGTGATTGTTTCTTTTCTTTTTTTAACATTTTTTGTTTTTTATATAGACTATAGATAGCTTCCGTAGAAAAACTGCACAGCTCTTCTCTTATCTCAAAATGAACGCTGTGGTCCTTGGTGTTTACAACTTTTTATTGTGTATAGGTAGGTAGAAGAAAGAAATAGGGTTTTATTTTGGCAGGAATAATTTTTTGTTGTTGTTTGGACACATGTCCCCGGTTTCAGATTAGCAGAATATTATTTTAGATGTGACGTTTTACGGATTATTGTGATATGTTATATCACAACACTTTATCATTTAACTTCTCTTTATTTTTTCTTTATTCACAATTTACATAAAAGAAATAAAAATTTGTTTTCAACAACAGTTTTTGGTTCGTTTCGACACTTATTCTAACTAGTTTTGAATCTCCCAAAACATCATATGTATTTTGTTTTTTTAATTTAATAAAATTGACAATGCATATTTGACTTGTTTAAAAAAAAAAAATGAACCCCAGTGGCGATTTAATTTTTTCAAACAGGGCTAGGGCTGACCCAAATTCACATCGGAGCCATCAATGAACTCGAGACCTTGACCTGCCCCGTGTGTGATGGCAAAGCCCATGCTTTTCCGGCATGCTTGAATGGGCCGTCACATCCCTGCCACCCTGACGAGGTAGCTATCAGAGAGTGTAGCAATATCATGTTAACAAGCTCTACCTTTGATTCCACAGGACTTGATCGTTGCCGTGTCCAAAAGTTTTCATGCGAAAAGTTCTCTTGCTTGCGTTTACATTACGTGGTCCAAATTAAGGACACAATACATGGTTCAAATTAAGGACACAATACATGGTTCAAATTTAGGACCCAATTCTTGGTTAAAATTAAGTACACATTGCATGGTTAAAATTAAGGAGCCAATACATGGTTAAAATTTAGGAGCCAATACATTGTTAAAATTAAGGAGCCAATACAAGATTAAAATTAAGGAGCCAATACATGGTTAAAATTAGGGAGCCAATACATGGTTAAAATTAAGGAGCCAATACATGGTTAAAATTAAGGACACATTACATGGTTCAAATTACGGACACATTGCGTGCTACAAATTAGGGAACCATGACATGATTCAAATAAGGATACACTGCATGGCCCAAATTAGAAAGTCATTAAATTTTTTTTAAAAAAATCAATAAATTCTCAACTGATTACTTTGCAATAAAATATAATTTAAATGTTAACCTATTCAGCTGGTGGTTGGTTTCGGTATTAAGGTTGTCATGCTTATAAGATGCGAATGTTGACCCATTTAAAACACTATTATTTTTCTAAAACATGGTTTATACTAATCAGGCCAGTAATGTACACCGATCTTTTTTTTTTAAAGCACAACGTTCATGTAAAACAATTGGCTCAAAAAATTAATTCCCCTGTCTTCTAAGGTATGTTCCGTCAAGTACACAGACGATCAGCCAGTATACAAGTGTCAAAAAGCTGTCGTAAGTAAACACGGTTGACAAAAAGCCGCCAGTTTGTCATGTTTGGTTTAGGTTTTGGTTTCCTTCTAGTTTTCACTCTACTGGATGATTCTTATCGCTTTTTTTTTTCCTTTCTTTTTTTTTTTGAAAGTAAAAAAAAAATATTGATACTAGTATCATTTTTTATATCATGTAAATAACTAAGACACTTGTTCTTTCCAATAATTGAACATTACAAGCGAAAGTTAGAAAAAATTATCCTGGCTGAGTGAACGGCAATCTTTGTTATCGCTTTTTTTTTTCCTTTCTTTTTTTTTTTGAAAGTAAAAAAAAAATATTGATACTAGTATCATTTTTTATATCATGTAAATAACTAAGACACTTGTTCTTTCCAATAAATGAACATTACAAGCGAAAGTTAGAAAAAATTATCCTGGCTGAGTGAACGGCAATCTTTGGTAATGCGAAGTGAAGGAAAGTTAAAATGCAAGTTTTTTAACAACGGTTTAAAATTACACTTATTACAAAACTGTTTTGAAATTTTTCATGAGGATCGATTGTTCCGCTATTCCCAAATCAATACAGATGATTACAAAATTTATTTATTCAGTTTTAAAAAAATATATATATTGTGTCAATAATTTTTTTTCCAGGATTGTCAAAGACCAGCAGCTCACCCCACCTTGTTATGTCCTTTGTTCGGAGTTGAAATCCATCTAGGCCAATGTCAAGCGTGCTGTGGGACGATATCTTGTGTCCAGGGCGTGACTCAGCAGATACAGCATCAGTTCAGTATGTCAACATCTCTAGATGTCATGTGTTTATTAGTCATTTCAAGGACTTTAGGTGTCAACCCCCCCACCCACTCGCAAGTTAGGCTTTCTTAGGCTGTCTAGCTTTGGGTTTGATTTCAAATAAAAGTAAAATCACGTCAATATAATGCACTCACCAATAGAAGTAGAAAAAAAAAAGAGATAACACACTTCAATTCAATTCAATTCAAACCACAATGAACAATGTGTTAGATAATATTTTAGGGAAAAGTATAGCAAGAAACATTATCTTCTGTACTTGAGTAGTTCAAAGGAACGATTTCAAATCAGTTGAAAACAAAATGAACTAAGCGTAAGATAATATTTGTGGGGGAAAACATATAAAAAAAAACATAAGCTTCTGTACTTAGGTCGTTCAGTGGAACGATTCTTTACATAGGCTTTCAGCCGTTTGAAATGTGTCCCGTTATGACTTGGTTAGCTGCACCTACACAGTAACTTTGATCTCGGGGAACACATAGAAAAAAGAAGGGGAAAAAAAGGTTTACAAGTTGAGGTGTTTTCATTTAAGTGATACAATTTTGAAGCTTGAAAGATTAGATTTGTTATGGATTTTTTATTTATTTATTTTTATATTGTTTAAGGTATGCACTTAAATCAGGATTGAAGGAAAAGATTATCCACATGTATCTCGAGCTTTTTCTTGAATTCCTTCCCCTTCCTATCTAACCGAACTTATTTCTGTCTACTTCACCCCTTCGACAGCTTCGTGCCTCCGCAGATGCGCGTATTCTTTCTGTCCCCAAGACTCGCACAAGAACATACGGTGATCGATCGTTCTCTTTCTGTGCCCCTAAATAATTGCGTTCTCTTCCATTGCACATCCGCAATATACCGATCACCACAGCCTTCAAAACTGCACTCAAAACACATCTTTTTAAACTCAACTATCCAGACTGATTCCCCCCTCTGACAGAAAAAACGATGCTACTAGGTGTCGTCCATGGCTTGACATGTAAATAGTTTTAAAAATACATTTGTTTTGTTTTATTGAATTAATGTATGTCAATTAATATTTTAAGTGTTTTGATTATGTTTGTACAGCGTGCTGAGCCCAGCACTAGTCAGGGGTACCATGCTATATAAAACCACTTATAATAATAATAATATAATAATCTCAAGCCATAAGTTTATATATTTTTTATTTTTAATGTGTGGCGAGACTATATTACTTCCAATGATTTCTTAAAACACTAAAGGATTTCATAAAATAATAGCTAGCAAAGAATATCGGGTAGTCTACATTCACACTGATCAATTACACCACTAATCCAATTCTGAACTCGTTGGCTATCCAACTGATTCACTACCCAAATGATTCGCTGCCAAAATTATTCACTACCCAACTGCTTAGGTATCTAACTGATTTACTCCCCAACTGATTCACTACCCAAATGACTCACTATCCAACTGATTCACGATCCAACTGATTTGCAACCCAACTCATTCACTACCCAACTCATTCACTACCCTACTAATCAACTACCCTAATGATTTAACTACCCAACTATTTAACTATCCACCTGGTTCAGCACCCAAGTGATCTACAGTTCCAATTTTTTATTACCCAATGTACTTAATCAATACCAACTGATTCAATAACCAACTGAATCATTACGCATTTCATTCACTACCCACATAATTCAATACAGAAAGTATGCTCTACACATATAAGTCACTACTTAAATTATTCACTGCTCAACGGATTCACTATCCAACTGATTCACTACCCAAGTGATTCACTACCCAACTGATTCACTACCAAACTGATTCACTACCCAACTGATTCACTACCCAACTGATTCACTACCCAACCGATTCACTACCCAACTGATTCACGATCCAACTGATCAACTACCCAACTGATCAACTATTCAAATGATCCACTTCCCGATTGTACGAACCTCCAATGATCAGCCGCCTACTTGCCCCCTTACCTTAACGTTGCCCAATCATCTTTATGTATCAGAGAGTTTAGAAAACAAGTTTCTGTTGCTTTTTTTCCTATGCTAAACCTGCAGGTCAACGTCTGCTCTGTCCTGGTAGCTGCACCGAGACTAACCTGGCCGAGTGTGTGCAAGCTGGAACATACTGTACTCAAGGACAGGTTGGTCGGACGTCATATGTGATGCGCGATTTTTGATACGTGTTATGTGATGGTGATAGTTGATCTTTGATATGTGATATGATAGTCATTGATATAGACTTCTCAACGCTGAACATTTTGATGAATTCAAAACTCGATGTGTTGTGTGCGCACTCTTGTAGAGTTGTGTCTATCAGATGTCATTCGTAATTTGACGACAGGCAACACTGTGACAATACACTGACTTATTTGCGACTCCTGGTCCCCAGTTCTGCGAAGTTGTGTTCGACGACCACCTGAGTGTCAAGGGACAGTGCAGAAACAATAACGAATTGCCGGTGAGAGACCTTTACCTAGTAGGCGATGCCAAAAGTGACCGAGTAAACAGCCACCCTGTGGTTTTTGAAATAGGAGAACAGAAAGTTTAGTAAAACTTGATAAAAGCTAAACAAACATTTTTATGTTTGAAACCAAGCTAAAAGTTTTAATTTTGAAACAAATTAAATATATTATTTTTGAAACGAGTTAGAGCGTTAACTTTGAAACTAAACAAAATTTGTTAATTTTGAAACCGAGCAAAACATGTCAGTTTAGAAATTAGTTAAAAGTGTTAATTTTGAAACGAGTTAAACGTGTTAATTTTTGCAACCAAGCTAAGTGTTAATTTTAAAACCAAGCTAAAATGTTAATTTTGAAACGAGGTAAAAGTGTTAATTTTGAAATGAGGTAAAAGTGTTAATTTTGAAACGAGGTAAAAGTGTTAATTTTGAAACGAGGTAAAAGTGTTAATTTTGAAACGAGGTAAAAGTGTTAATTTTGAAACGAGGTAAAAGTGTTAATTTTGAAATGAGGTAAAAGTGTTAATTTTGAAACGAGGTAAAAGTGTTAATTTTGAAATGAGGTAAAAGTGTTAATTTTGAAACGAGGTAAAAGTGTTAATTTTGAAACGAGGTAAAAGTGTTAATTTTGAAACGAGGTAAAAGTGTTAATTTTGAAACGAGGTAAAAGTGTTAATTTTGAAACGAGGTAAAAGTGTTAATTTTGAAACCAAGCTGAACGTGTTAATTTTGAAATTTTTTTTTTCCACCGATTAGCATCCTAAAAATCAAATAACTATTCTCTTCTCCCCAGAAATGTCTCGAGGAACAATCAAAGCATCCTTGTGTCATCACGGAGCATGCGCACAGATGTTTTTGGGACTGTTGCTCCGACACCACCTGCCTGACTAAACACTTTAGTCCTTACATAGGTGATCATGCTTGGACCTCTTCTTACCTGTGCATGCTATTTAATATAAAGTATACACTATCTTTAAAAAAAAAAAAAGACACGATCTAGCATTCTCTTTAGGGTTACAGAAATCAGGTATCAAGTCAAACCTTATGTGTTTAATTATTTAACGGGAGTACATGTTGTCATATTCAAAGGAAGCTCTCAGTCGTAACAGCGCTGGGGTTATCAACCCCCGAAAAAGTCATTGAATAACACTCTTTAACTTGGTCAGTGGTAGGGACAGATAAAGAGAAAGATGTTTGTTCGCGTTAGTTCATACATTAATATCAACCTAAAGGACAGAGTCTTTCTGTCAGGTGGGATTTTGTTTCATTCCAGCATCTAATTTTTTAATATATAAATGTTTCGACTCTGCTGTCATCCTGGTAGCCAAAGAAACATAATCGGTCATATAACTAATCATTTGTATGATAAGAAATCCAATTTTTTTTTCTACTAACCAATTCAATAAATATCCAAGAATTAAAAAAAAAACCCCAGTTTAGAATAAATACAATGTCTATAAATGTCTATATACGTGTATCCATGGATGGTTGGGGGCTTGTTAACCTTAGATGGCAACACATCTAGTTAAAGGACAACTCTGAATTCAAAGCCGGAGATTGATACCCGTAGGCGGTATGTCATTATCTCTAAAGACCGAACGAAAATGATTTTCTGATTTCGGCCGAAACGGAAACTAGGTTGAAATTAAACCGAAAGTGACATTTTGTTTCGACCGAAACCGAAATTAAAACAAAACTTCACTTTTTGTTTTCGGCCGATGAAGTTATTCCACTCATACATTCTACATATATCAAAATAAATGATGGGAGAAAGTATCAATATTTACAATCTTTTTTTTAAAAATGAGTTCATCATGAATATTAATAAATGAACATTAAATGAATACTCTTGCCTTTTAATATTTAAATTTAAATGTAATTAAAATTTCTTAAATTTTTTTAAAAATTACTATGATAAGAGCAAATTTGGACCGGGGAGGGGGGGGGGGGCAAAATTCATGCAAATAGACCCTTGAGTGGCCTTTTAATTCGGTGACCACCTCCCCTCTCCCTTGGTGGGGGAAATTATTATTATTTTTTTTTTAACCGGGTTTATTAAAATAGTTCTTCTGACGGGTTTCGACGAACAATCGTAAGACATCTAAATTGGTCGCCTAAGCCAGTGATACATGCATACACGTGTTATTTTTCTCAATAACAATGTTTATGACCATGATAATGATGAATTTCAAGAAATAAATGAATTGAAAAAGCCTAGGTATCCTTAAATTTAAATAAAAAAAAAAAAAAAAAAAGGAACAATTTTACCATTATTTAAATAAAAAAAAAAAAAAAAAATAGGTACAATTTTACCATTTCCTAGGATTATTCATCTTTGCCTATGGCAACATTGATGAGCATGATGATGATAAATCAAAATGAATATCACAAATAAAGGAATTGAATAAACCTAGGGTTCCAAATTTAAATTTTGACAAAAATTAAAACAAAAATAATGATATAAAGTATTACCATTCCACTAGTTTTCCTACCACAAAACTGCTTACATTTGCCTAGGCCTAAATAAAATGTATTTTTTTGGAAATAAATGATGAGTAGGTCTGGTTCTGGTCCTGGTTCTGGTAGTGTTTGTTGCTGCATCCATGTACTGGCATTTTTGCAATGGTTGGGGGTATGTTGCTGCTATTCTAACAGTTCCTAGCTGATGCCAGGCCAGCCTTGGAGCTTTCGACTGATGTCGAGTTCACAGTGGCATCGTTCAGGTTGTTCCATGTTATTATTGTGCATGGGAAGAAAGATTTTTTATACTGCACTGTGTTGCACTGAGGCACTTTGAAGCATTTGCTATTGTTTCTGGTGTAATTGTTAATGGGAATGTCAGTGGTGAAGTCCATGATCAGTGAGCGTTTTGCTCTGATCTGTATGCACAGGCAACAACACAAACTCCAACAACAGGGCCGTCAGGTCATCATGCCGCTGTGAGTAGTTTTTGCAGAGTACTAGTCATATAACATACGATGATAGCTAGACGTCGAGCAATAATGAATATCGGATTGTCAGCCTAAAGACAGAAAGACAGTCTGATAGATGACCGAGAACTCCAATCATTTTCAACCGAAACCGAAATTAAATCGAAAGTTAAAAAAAAACCAAAAGAAATAAACACCTTGAACATTGTTAAATTTTACCAAACTTTTCCTTTACAGTCGTCAATACCATCAGTCAGACCACCCAACGTCAGGTGACAGCTACAATGGCACCAACACTACCTCCCACACCGGCAACGACACAAGCTCCAATAACAGGACCGTCTGGTGAGTAGTTTGTGAAAATTTTAAATTTCAATGAAGATTTTACGGTCAGACAAAAAGGCAGGGCGGATAGAATCATGGTAGACATGTCGATAGTTGTATCAGACAGACGGTCAGGTAGAATCCAGGTAGACATGTCGAAAGTTGTGTTATTATTTAACAAAATATATGTGCCTCTCATGTGAGCAGTGAGCAGTGAGCAGTGAGGTGTAGTGATTGATTGAATGGCTCAGTCCCTTTTGGATAATTTTAAAATAATTTGATACGCCACAGTAAAGCCGATCACCTGCTATGATTGTGATGGTGGATTATGTCAGCACAATGAGAGAAATGCCACCTGTCCAGGAGGATACTGTATGTTGACAGTGGATGAAGACACAGGTGGCGGTCGGTACATCAAGAAAAGGTGAGATTTGTGATTTAGGATTGTTGTGATCACGTCATGTCAGTTCACATCAGTGACGTCATTCCCGTGTACCTCAATGATTTCCTCTCCTTGTATATCAGTTACGTCCTGTCTGTGTACATAAATGACGTCTTGCCTATGTAACACCATGACATCCTTCCTGTGTACATCAGTGACGTCCTGCATGTGTACATTAATGACTTCCTCTCTTAGAACATCAATGGCGTCACGTCTGTGTACAACAATGACGTCATGTCTGTGTACATAAATGCTTTCTACTATGTGCACACGAATGATGGGTTGCCTGTGTACATCTATAATGTCATTTTATTTGTACATTAATGACGTTTTGCCTCTGTACATAAATGACGTCATGGTTGTGTACATAAATGACATCATTACTGTTTTCATCGATGGCGTCCTATCTGTGTACATCAATGATGTCCTGCCTGTGTACTTCAATGACATCCTGTCTGTGTACACCATTGACGTGCTATCTCTGTACATAAGAGACGTATTGTCTGTGAAAATCAGTAATGCGTTGCCTGTGTACACATACGACGGCCATCTGTGTACACCAATGACACACTGCATGTATACATCGAGAAAGTCCTGATTGTGTACATCGATGATGTCATGCATGTTAAAGTTTAAGTCATACACGTCTTTACCTTAGCTGTTTTCAGCTGAATATAAGTTTCGCCATCATGTATCAGGAAATGTTCTATTCATGTTGTGTTTCTTGTTTGGTCTTGTCTGCTGAAAAAGACGTTTAACTGAAAATTCATTTTAAGTGTCCTTTCTTTTTTCCCAAGCCTAAAAATATCTTGTCGCACTATTTAATTTCTTTGTGGAAGAAACTGTTTAAGCAATTAGTGAATATGACATGTTAAAAAAAAAAAAAGTTGAGAACATCTTAGCGCGCCAATGTCTTAAATTAACTTTTGGTGCATTCATCAGATGCTCCGATGAGACAGAGTGCTATGACAGCTGGAGCAACGGTTGGAAAGAGGATCAGCTGTGCGCCCAATATCTTTTGACACCCACGAAAATAAGCGGTCAAGATATGTCGTGCCAGTTCTGCTGTACTGGAGACCATTGCAATAATCATATTGACATACAGAATGTTTACAAATTTTAGTGAACCTCAGTTTACCTGTTGTATTCGACACCGTAGTGGTAGTCCGTTTTATATATACATAGAGTACACCTAAATATAACATTTTTTGGTGCCCGTAATAGCAATATCATAATGTAAGCTATTCTCTGATCATGAAGTCTCCACGAGTCATTATTTTAAACACAATATAAACCCATAAGTTAAAGTAAGTTCACTTATTAGATACACTCCCGTAAAGAACTTCTGTTATCCCTTTATTTCTTACATTTGACGTTCAAATTTTTTTTTTTTGCAATTTTATTTCTATAAGATGTTCACGTTAAATAAATAGAATTCGAACTCTGGATGACAGGAACTAAAAATACAAAAAAACAGAAAAATTGGGGTAGGTGGTGGAAAATGGATTCTTACCTAAATGGAATAAATTTATTATCGTAAAACAAAACCGTTTTTGCAATGATCTTCTTATTTGTTAATCAATGTTCTGATCATGACTTTTAGAGCAGCCTTATCCTTACAAAATTTGAAATTTTTAGAAAACTTTCGTGAATGTCTTGCAAAAGTAAAAAATCTATTTCATTGACATCTATTTTAATTTATAGATTACACTTAGAATTTTTATAAAAAATTAAGAACGAAAAGAAAAAACAAAAATTAAAGAAAGGAAAATAACAGGACGAAAAGCAAAATTTAGTGTGATATCATTTGTTGAGATAAGGACGCGTGTGTGTAAGAATGATAGAGTCAGAAGCATGGCCAAGTTTTGGCGTTCAAGGAATGCGAAATTTCATGATTGAAAAGCCCGGTACCAACATGATAAGCTCAAGAAATAAAATTGATTATGGTTTTATTTCTGGGTTTATATTAGTATTTCAACGCGTCGTAAATAATATACCTACACACATCTCCAAGTTTATATTAGTACTTCAATGCCTCGTCAATAATATACCGACACTCATCTCCAAGTTTATATTAGTACTTCAACGCCTCGTCAATAATATACCGACACGCATCTCCAAGTTTATATTAGTATTTCAACGCCTCATCAATAATATACCGACACTCATCTGCAACAGCCAAGTTCTGGCGTTCAAGGAAGAACGACATTTCATGTTTGAAAATCCCGGTACCAACATGATAAGCTCAATAAATAAAATTTATTATGGTTTTATTTCTGGGTTTATATTAGTATTTCAACGCGTCGTAAATAATATACCGACACACATCTGCAACAGCCTTTTTAAAATAAAAGATTGCCAAGACTGTAATCGAGGAGATGCGGTGGAAGCACATACATTTTGTGTCAACGAGAACACGCCGAAGGGATTAGAACATGTATTGTCCGAGAGAAAGCCCTAAATTTTGGATACATTTTCGATTGGAGACCTGCTGCCAAGACTGCTCAGCGACTTGCTACGTTAAAAGGATATGGTATATGAATGTTGTTGGAGGATGGAAGGGATGTTACAGATTAACACCGTTTGTATCACAAAAAGAGAATATTTATGCCAAGGAGCGATTGACGTAGCAGATCAATAGGATTATGTATTTTTAATAAATGTTTCGAGGATTGGGGTGTATTTAAAGAAAGTATATATTTAGTTTAATGACAAGTAATTTCATTAAAAGCTTACTGACATTTAAAAACAAAAAAACTGTGAGTGAAAGAATGACATCCGTGTTAATTAAATGCGTTACAGTTGTTGGTTTGCAAAAATTTCACAAATCTGTTGGAAGATAACAATAGAATTTTAATCGTTGAAATTATTTTCTTTTAAAATCAGTGGTTCGTAAAATTTCACAAGTCAGCGAGAAGATACTACAAGGTACTAATCGTTGAAATTAATGACAAATCAGTGGTTCTCACAACACTGAGCTTAATAATAGTAACAGAAATCCAAGTATTGAGTTACATAGATGTGTTTAATATATAGATGCATTTAATAAATGAATTTCTGCGTTCCTGCCGTGTGAAGGATATAGAAGACCAATGTATGTGGAAATGTAGCTTGAAATAGAAAAAAACATGTCAATCAAGAAAGAGGTTGGTAGATGAAATTACAAATGCCTTTAAAATCAGATTAAAAACATATCTGACATAGACTTGTCAGTTGGCCTATAACATAAATTGTTATATTTTCAAATAAATTTTAATATGTTAACAAGTATTACGGAGAAATTGCGGTCATTCATAAACAATAGCCTTAGAAAGATCCTGAACATCAAGTGGCCAAACACCATCACCAACAAAGAGGTACTGGAAAAGACGTACCAGTGGCCTTTTGCCAAAGACATCATTTGAAAAAGATGGATGTGGATAGGGCACATTTTCCGCAAACCCAAAGATTTCATTAACTGACAAACCCTAACATGGAATCCACAGGTAAAAAGGAAAGAGAGGAAACTTAAGAATACTTGAAGACGCAAGCTAGAGGCAGACACAAACAAGTATGGGATAAACCTGGAAGCTACTCAGTTCATTGACAGTTCTCAGTAATGTTTTTCCCACTAAGTTCATTAAAAGTTCTCAGTATTTTTTTTCTCTCTCACTTCATTAATATTTTCTCTGCAATTTCTTTTCCATCTCAGTTCACTGAGAGTACTCGGTAATGAATTTTTTCTTCAAGTTCATCGACAGTTCTCAGTAATATGTTTTCTCTCTTAGTTCATTGATATCTTCTCAGCAATGACTTTTTTTAATTCAAGGTTCAAAATACGTATAAATTTAAATTCTGATTGCTTTAGCACAACCTGGTTAAACTATCAGTTTCAACAGTTCATTAATAAAACTCAAAATCAATTTTTTTTTTTTTTTTTAAATATTTATTTGTAAATCTCGATAAAATTTTGAAGAAAATAAACACAAAGTGACTTAACACACATATAATGTCTTTTAAAAACGTATTTATTATTAACCGCGTTAAAGCTTTATTGTGAGTTTCCGGAAGAAAAAACAAACTAGCCACTCAGTATGGGGTACATTACAATAATATATGAAGTCAAAAACATTTTATTGTCCGAGAGATAAGACCATAATGGTTTAGTGCATATCGTTTCCGCCTTCGTACCATTTGTATTTGTCATGTTTTTGGCTAAATAAACATAGATCTGATGACGTCATTGTGAATCGAGTTGAAAGAAGCTATTCATAGTAAAATAGTAATTTTTTTTTATTTAAAAAAAAAACTGTATCATTTTGTTCTGATTTAATGAACCCAACTTAACTAACTGGAACCGGTTAAGTAGGCGGCAACCAAGGGAAAGCAACTCCGTTTTACACAAATTTGAACGTACACCCCGGAGGAATTTAAGCACCAACAGGTCGACCTGAAATAGATCAGACGTCAATAATGTTAATCTTCTGTTTACCGATCCTGATCATTGTCAAGAGTTGACCTATTTTTTATCAGCATAATAAAAACGGCCATTGGACAGTCTCCAACTGGTCATACCTAAGACTTTTCAACGATGTTCATTTATGAAGACGCTTTATACTAGCTTTGCTTTGTTCCTGACATGCTGGCAAAATTTTCGGGCAACCTATTGACCAACTTCCCGTCAACCTATTGAGCTGAAACTTGGTTCACCGGCTCGTTGCTGATGCAATTGTCCCGCCCCACTTTTCAACCCCCACACCCAAAACTCATTGTTACCCCTGTTTTTTCAAGGGGAAGAGAAGGTAGATATGACACTGATTTTACGAAATAAAATTTCCGATAACTGCGCCAGATGAGATTTTAAAAAAATAAATAAATATCACAAGTGAATTTTAATACGAAATATTTTACTTTGCTTTTTTTTCAGACATTAGATGGTGGAATAAATATGCGGTTTAAAAGCGGGTGGTGCATTGGAATAATAATATAGTTCAGGAGATGTGAAAAGAAAATGGGTGGTTGCGAGCCTGTGAGGGGGGGGGGGGGGGCGCACTAATTGGGCCTCTTGTAGGGGGCGTTAGTTATATGCCTGTTTGGTCAATATGTCAGCCCCGCCCCCCCCTGCCACCCCCCTCCGCCCCCCTTAAAATATATATATAAAAATTGCTCAATTTAACACATTTATAAGGAATTAAACGAAAAGGTCAAAAGTTAGGGACACAACAAAAATGATGTATAGAGGCATCTCATCAAGTATAGAAAGTATAACAGTTTTCTAAAAAATAAAAATGTCATTAGTATTTAATTCAAATTTTTAAACTCAAGCGTTACTGTTATCTTTTTCATTCCTTAACGTTGATTGCTTTGGTAACAATGTAGAATAAGGTCAAAATGATAACATATTGTTTATTGTGGAAGTTAAATTTTGCACATAAAATATTCTCCAGATTGGCTAAAACTTAAAATATTTTAGTCCAGACTTACTTTAATCAACATATATGGACAATGAACAGACAGCTATACGTGACTATGTTGACTAGTGACTATGTGACTAGATCGCTATATGTACCTATGTTGACTAGACAACTATGTGTCCCTATGTTGACTACACAGCTATGTGTCCCTATGTTGACTAGACAGCTATGTGTCCTTATTTTGACTACACAGCTATGTGTCCCTATAATAACTAGACATCTATATGTCCTAATGTTTACTAGACATCTCTGTTACCCTATGTTGACTACAGAGCCATGTTTCCATATCTTGACTAGACAGCTATATGTGCCTATGTTTACTAGAAAGCTCTGTTACCCTATGTTGACTAGACAGCTGTGTTTCCCTATGTTGACTAGACAGCTATGTGCCCCTGTGTTGACTAGACAGCTGTGTGTCCCTGTGTTGACTAGACAGCTATGTGTCCCTCTGTTGACTAGACAGAAGTGTGTCCTTATGTCGACTAGACAGCTATGTGTCCTTATGTTGACTGTGTCAAGTGACTCAAACTCTTTAATCTGACCATCATCATACCAAGGATAAAATAAATTGCAAACACATGATAATGTTCAAATTTATAATCACACTGGTGATTTTACTTTAAGACCAAGCGATACCACTTCATAATTGCAGTGGTTGATATACTATAGGACCAAAGGAGCCCATGTATTTATGGTTAAAAATCAGATGAGTGGCATGCAATAAAAGCATTAAAATTAAAATTAAACTATTTTATAGATGTTTTTGAACTCATACCAATAATGAACTGCACGCAGTTATTTGCATAAAATCACACTAGCTGCATTTACAGCTAATTACAAGACGGCGTCTCCTGGGTCTTAACTTCTTTTGGGTCCTAACTTCTCCTGGGACCTAACTTGTCCTGGGTCCTAACTTCTCCTGGGTCCTAACTTCTCTGGGTCCTAACTTCTCCTGTATCCTAACTTCTCCTGTGTCCTAACTTCTCCTGTGTCCTAACTTCTCCTGGGTCCTAACTTCTCCTGGGTCCTAACTTCTCCTGTGTCCTAACTTATCCTGGGTCCTAACTTCCCCTGGGTCCTAACTTATCCGTGTCCTAACTTCTCCTGGGTCCTAACTTTTCCTGGGTCATAACTTCTCCTGGGTCCTAACTTCCCCTCTGTCCTAACGTCCCCTAAGTCCTTACTTCTCCTGGATCCTAACTTCTCCTGGGTCCTAACGTTTCCTGAATGCAACTAAGAATAGTTTTTAATTTTTTTTTAAAATTCCAATCCTAATACACTTACTTGTGATGTCTCCCGTTACATCGCAGTTTTCCCAGGGGTAAACCACTCTCCTGATTAATCGACGA